TCACATGTAGGTCAGGATAAAACACAATAGGTGGGCAGAAGCAGGAGCGGCCCTTTTGCAATGCGACGTGAATGTGTTCTGCATCGGATCATTAATGGTGCAGCCAACACGTTGTCTCTTCCAAACGAGGCCCTCTGGTTCACAGTAGTTATCCCAATTGACCAGCACAGTGGAACACGGCGCGCTTTGTTTGAGTGCAAGTGGGCTGTATTATCCCTCGCTAACGCAGCGGCTGTTAAACTCCTCGGCCGCTTTGTTGTGTTGCTGCTCTAATATTATCTACCAGGCCGGAGATTACCTCTAATCACCTGGTCAGTCTCCTGGGGAGCAGATACGCGGCGGCGGTAGATTTTTTTTTTATCTTTTATTTTTTTACAGCACTTCACCGCGCAGTGTGTACACATCCTGCGGCAGACATTGTTGGAATATAATCAAGTGTTTTTTTTAGATTTTTTTTTCATCCACCAGATGCTTTCAATGAGCAGGTGCAAACCCAGTACACCGCCGCAGCCGTCCGCATCCACGCCCAATGCCACCTGGGTCGGCTGGGATGGAGGTGCATTCCCATTTTGAAGGGACGCACTCATCAGTCAGACGCACAACATGTAAACACAACCCTCCCCCCCGTCCTCCACTTGCCCCCCCCCCCGTGCTGCTGCACCCTCAGCTGTTAGCGAGAGACTGCGCTGCTGTGTCGCAGCTCCACTGCTACCAAGCGGCTTTGGTGCGCAACCCCATCCACACTGTCAGTGTGTGTGTGTGTGTGTGTGTGTGTGTGTGTGTGTGTGTGTGTGTTCACTCAGTAGGAACCAATTTTCACCAAACGAGGACACGCCACGCAGAGTGGCCTGCAAAACATTCCTGGCGCAGCTCCCATCTGGCCTATTGCGCGCGGCACATTGATGAAGACATAATCTCATCCGCTGACTGTCTTCTTCGTCTCTCTATCTGTCTCCTTTTGTCTGTCTTCCCCACAGCGCCTTTGTGCGTCAAACAAAACATGCAAACAACCACAAAATAGAGCTGATGAAATTTCCGGGGGGGAAAGGAACCTGTGGGGTGACCACGCGTTGCTCGGCTCGGTGTAATGTCTCGGTCTGGTGGGGTTGGAGCTGCTGCTGCACCAGCTGCTCCAGACTCTGCAGACAACCGCAGCACTAACAAGTCGGTTTCATTTTGTATTCCGCTTCACAGCCCCTCTTGGGTTTTACTTCGGCACGAGCAAAAACAAAAAATCCAACTCATGATTGTGCCGTCTCGCCTGAACGGTTCAATTCTGTCACAAAGGTCATTGTTTTATTTTTAAATGCTCCCTCCCATTTCCTTCATTACATCTCTAGTTTGAACCCCTTTTTATGTCATATAGAATCACTTTGAAAGTTAATTAATTGCTTTGCTTTAATTTAAGTAGAGTAAGTGAGACACAGGTTTCCCAGTTTCATGGTGATATTTAAGATCAAGATTTCTTTATTTTGATCAATCACCTCACTCGAAAACTCTTTCTTTCCACTTACCTAGACAATTGATTTTATTTATTTAACACAAATAACCCATGCACATATTGTAACGATGAGTGATATGTCTTACATGAAGGTGCTGTCTGTGTATTTAAACTAAACCAATAGCGACTTGCAGCATAAATTGACACTTAATAGAAAGTTATAAATAGCCTGAGTTAGCGATGCATTGTCCACAAAGCACAGTGTTTTCTATGGATTAAGGTCACCTCCTGAACAAGATTTCCTTGGTACTGACGAAGGTACTTTAACTCTGGCTGACGTAAAGCAACCGTCACACACACACACACACACACACACACACACACGGAGCGTCATAGTCCGTCTTTGAGGATATAAAACCAAACCAGAATAATGAGTCGGTGGCCCGTTAATACCGCCGCGTCCCGTCTGAGCTCCCTACGGTGAATGAGGAGGACAGCAGGGCCGAGTCGGGGCCCCTACTGGCCCGTCCTACAGCCTGAGGACAGGAGACAAATCGCTCCTGCCTCCCATGATGCTGGCTTTCATCTCCGAGATGAAAAAGACCCGCGGCTGAAGCTCCGCCACGAGCAGCAGCAGGCTGCGGCGTTTAAGACCGCGGTTTTGTTGACCCTCGCGCTCTTCTCCCTTCACCTCTACGTCGGATCAGTGCTGCTGCCGGAGCAGCCGGAACGCCAAGTGGGAGAGAGAGGACGCGGGCCGAGGCGTTACAGTCAGGTCTCACGTGAGCAACAGACGGAAAAGAGAAGTGAAAGAGGAAGCGAGCCCAGCGGCTAGCCTGATTTATTGATGGACTCTCTTTTGGCATCTGCAGACTTCCTCTCAGACAGGATGCCAGTTTAGGGAGCGAACGCTCTTCACGGTGAAGAGAATGAACACAGGAACCAAAAGAAAGAGAGGTTTCGGTGCTAAAAATAGCCGTCGCCTGGGACTGAGGGCCCCTTTTGAAGACGGGGACAGTGTCTATATATATTTATACACAGGGCTTGACTTGTTTTTTTGGATTGTTCTGTTAATGTTGCAGGATGCTAATGTGGAAAAGATGGTTTTATTGAAAAAATTCCAGTGAGTGAAAAGGGCCGTCTGTCTGTGTGTCTCAAACCATCACATCGCTCTTCTGAACCCTTCTTAAGTTTTGATTAGTATAAAAAAAAAAAAACGTTTTGTTTAAACGTTGGAGAAGCATGATGCCGAAATGTAAAGCGTTGTGACGTCGTCTGTCAAAACCGAGGAAATAACACACTAATCATTGAGGTGCTTCTCATTAGGTAACGCGAGTGAGTGATTGGCTGAAAGGTTGCGGGTGCGAAAGCTCCTTTGTTTAGTTCGCGGGTTCACAAGGTGTCCATCGAACTCCACGCTGCCTCCTCCATCTTCAACTCGTACGCACAATAAATACAGAAGAGGTCGTTGTTGGCTTCCTCCAATGAGGCTCATTTAAAATGTATGAAAAGAAAAGTAAAACAAAATCAGAAACCTCATACAGAGAATAGTTCAAAGTTAACATGTATATATATGTAAAACAAGACATCTTCACCAGAGTGAAAACAAAAGCATAGAAGCTCCTTACTGTCTAAATAGATGTCATTTATTTATATGTACTTTTGAATCCGCTCTAATCAGATATTTGCGTCATTAAAACTGGATTAGGAAGGAGGAGATAAATTGAAAATATTTTGAACGCACCAAACCTAACCTAAACCAAAACTCGACTGCATATTTAGTCTCACCCTAGTCCTAAATCTATTGCCCCTCAGGCTCTCCTAATCTACGCGCTCTCCTCCTGAATCTATACAACGTCATCTGGAAATCGGCCTCAAGACCCTGATAAAACGTCTGTTGACCTTTGAATATGTCCACTTTGGAACCCATCGATCCTTGCCCTCCTCTCTGAATCCGTACACGCTCGTCTCCAAACTGTAGACCCCGTCGATCAGGACCATAAATATTGTTAAAAAAAAGAGTCCATTTGAGGATTTCGGCTGTGAAGGTCTGCTGTTCGTGAGCCAACGCTCAGATGTCACATGATGGGCTGAGTGATCCTCGTCCGTAATCTACCAAACCGTTTCTGTTGAATCCGTCGACCACAAATCGGTAATCTAGACCCTCATCCTGAACCTGCAGGCCCTTCTCCTTTCTATTTAGGTTTCTGCCGGACAAAGCTTATATTGTCTTTTCTTAATAAAACATCCCCTGTTGACACCTGTCAGCAGATGTCATTCACATACGCTACAAATGGAAATAAAATGGGACAAATGGAGATGTGAAATGGTCCGTCTATTGTTCAGTTATGTTCATGGAGCGTTTCATTGATACACCACCACGTGGGACCTTCGATGTCTGTAGACTTTGTTCTGGATCTATAGAAGTCCTCAATACATAAACCATTGTCCTGAGACTTCAAATATTTAAAAAAGTTATTCTTTGTAAATTCAACGTAACATTGTCCCTTATCCTTCCGTCCTTCTTTCATCAAACAGGAGTACATAATAATACATGTGATATGTTCTTGTGTCTCACACAATAGAAGAGTCAGAACACATTGAGCGGCTCTTGCATAACGAGTATGAGACATTAAATTGTTTTTATATTGTCTCACTAGATGACAGTGGTCAGCACACTACCTGCACTTTGTGCTAGTTATCACTTCTGTAAAAGTGAGGAAATACGTGTAATTCCCATGTGATTGGGTCAGAAAGCTCGCGGTTGCACATGTGCTCGGGTCCTTATGACACACGCTGTCGGAGTGTGGACCCTGAGTGATATTGAGTCGGAGGTGGCGTTGCTGGCTACTGGCCTTGTGACGGAGATTAGGGCAGATTTAGATCAGGCCCTGCAGAGTAGATGGAGCCAGGTACAACGCGGTGAGAGCAGTCAGCAGACACGCACAAACAGGCCGGGTAAATAACGAAAACCTCGCTGGAGTCCAACATTCGTAAATGGTAACTTGGCACACGCCGCGCCCGACGCGCCTAAACAAACCGCCGCTGCCTCTCCGGGAATCCCAATTAAAGGCCCCTTTGAATAAGTTATGAGGCGGTAAACCGGCATTACTGCAGCGTGACCAAAGGGCAGAGTAACGTGACGGATTTTAGTGTAGAAGGTTTGCGGAGCAATAAGGAAGTGATGGCTTTGTTAATATTTACTGTCCATGTCGCTGGGAGTCATGAATACTGAACGGGGCAAACGGCGGCTGCTGATGAAAGACTATGAGAAGTGGACGAAAGGCCTCAAACAAACCATTTGGAGGGTGGAGTCACTACATAAGTGTGTGGTATAGTAGTAGTAATGGTTAACTATCACTGTTTACGCTGTGGTTGTATTGAGGGGGGGGGGGGGTTCTTTTTCCAGTGAAATGAAACTACAATAGGGAGGAGTAAAAATCACTGAAATCATGTGTCGGGGGAAAAAGCAAAAGAGTAGAACAAAACTGCCAAAAATCCCAAAGCAGTTCAGTGACATGTTGATTCCAACGTTCATGTCTCCGCCTGTGTCTTTCAGCTCAAGATCTCTTTCAATGAGTCCAGTCTCCAGAGTACGCACGAGTATCCGTCAGAGAGCAGCGCGTGGGACAGCGAGGACGAGGACGAGGACGGCGACGGGCCGGTGGCGGACGAACAGCCGAGCATGGTGGGACGCATCCACATCCCTCGACCCAGTTTCACCAGCTCGCCGTCCCACACCAACAACGGCAACGGTGAGACCTCAGGGAACGTGACCGGGTGGAGGGACACGGTCGATTCGTATGTTTGTTGTATGTAGCTTTGACATTTCCTGCGGATTATTCGTGGCCTGCTGGTTGTGTAGAGGGCCTTGTGAAGGACACATGTATTCCCGATGCTTTGCCCTATTCAGGACTCCCCAAAATCAATACTTATAATGTCAAATGGCCAGAAATACCAGGATGTCCCGCTGCATCCGGCTGCATTTAGCAGAATCCATCCAGCGTGCTTTTCTGACCCACGGCCCTCTGTGAATATATATAAGCTCAAGTTGCAAAGTTATGGCCACTTTGCATTCCCCTGATGATCCGCTCATACATGGTTTAAAGTCCGACATAAGCCAACCCTGAAACACCGGCTGTGCGAAGCACTCTTGAGTCTCTTGCTGTGGTCTTTCAAATGACGGACAACATCGGGTGAGATGACAGAGACCTCTGCTGGACGAGTCGGGGATCGCATTTAACAAAAATGAGCTCGTGGCGGCGCCTCATTCCAACGCAAAGGGTCCTTTACATGCGAGTAATGAATCCCGTGGTGTCGCCTGCAGACCTGTCCAGCTACATTCCCAAGCACTCGGTGGACTTCAGCGCCTGGCAGGAGCACAAAGAGAGCCAGGTTTACCAGGGGGACACGGCTGACCAACAGGCGCAGACGAGCGAGGAAGTCATGGTGAGGGGGAACCGTTTCTGTTTCGGGGGGGGGAGTGGGGGCGTGTCACATTTTTCCTTACATTATGGATGGATTCATAATGATGGGTTGTGCGTTTTATGTCGTGGACTCGGGGTATTAGTTCAGTGCGTTTTGTGTCGGAGTGGGCTGTGACAGAATATCACAATATGCTCATTTTGGGATCTTCTGGGAATCTTTTCGATCTGTTTGATGTTTTTCTTTGTAGTTCGGCTCAGTTCCTGGTCACTTTTTACAAACAGAGTCAACACAAAGTTACACAGGCTGACGGGGAACTCATTGGTTGCACAATAGGGGGTGATAGACTTCCTGCGTCATCGGGATCAACGAGGGAAAATACAATTCTGGAGACTGACAACCGTTTTTTGCAGCACTTCAATGCATGCGATGAGCTTCTTTGGTATCACAAAAGACCTCTCAGTAATTATAAAGGGTTCATAACTGATGCGGCGCTGTCACACTTTTAATCTGTGATTAAAGAGAATGGAGTTTCCTGTTTAGCTTTTGAAATCCTGCTAAAGTCACTTCATCATGAGATCCTTTGGTTGGTTTATTGGCTTTCAGACCACAAACAAACCATACTAGAATTAAAGGTGGCTTTTACAGCAGCCGAAATTTGCAAACAGGTTTGGTCTGAAAGGGAAGGTGGAGCACAACAATCATAAAAGGTTGCATGATTGTTAAAGATTATTCAAAATGATTAATGACACTAGCTCTAAGGTTGAATTTACACTTCACCGTTGTCATTTTCTCCTCAGCTCACGCCTGCAGACAACTCGTCCCTGTCCGACTACAGCAGCGAGCCCGCCCTTTACTTCTGATCAGTCGGACCAATCAGCTGTCCAGTAGCATCACTCCTGTGGGACCAGCCTGCCGACGGAGCCCAGCGAGGTGCGACCCTCCCGGGCCCGAAACTGCCTCCAGCTCTACACTCCAGAGCCGTCTCCAAGCACATCTTCCTGATCACACAGGAAACTAAGTGTACTTTTATTTTTGTTTGTTTGTTCTTCTTTGGGGGGGGGGGGGGGGGGTGATCACTCGCCTCGGAACCGCCACACGCCACGTTATCAACCGCATATGGGAGCAATTTTTTTTCCTTTCTCTTTCTGGCCTGGAGCAACGCATCCCAAAGCAGCTGGACTGCCCCCCCCGCCTCGTCAGTTGATCTGTCGGCCTTATGCTCCCTAGACTAAATACATCGGACAGGATAAAATGGATTGTGAGGATCCCCTCTCCAGACTCCGTAAGAAGAAGGTCTTGTCCAGGTCCCCCCCCCCCACCACCCCGACGTCGAGAAGCAGAGGAGCTCGAAAAGCGAGTGACCAAGCTCCTCAAATAGAAACAGGAAGCCGCCAGTGCCACGGTGACGAGTTCAGTGTTACCATGGAAACATGTCAGTAGGACGAGGAAAGACACTCGTACACACAGAAACACAGAAAATGGCGAAAGAGTGCCACTAATGTAGTTTTTTTGTTTGTTTTTGGAACTGCATGTTTGATTTCAGCCCTCCGCTCCGTTGGTTTCTCTTTTACTGTAAAGCTTCTTGTGCGCCTTGTTAAGTTTTTTGTATGCTTTTTGATTTTGTTCCTTTCTGGCGAAACTACGCTGTAGTGGAGCTGCTGGAAGGTCGGTGGCGCTTTGGAAAAAGTGAGACCGTCCGACTGCGTTGGTCTCTCTGCGGCTCCTCGCGTGTTTATTCCTGCTTCTAGTTGAAGTTTGCATGTCTGAGACCTGCTCGTGTACAAAAAAACAGTTTCGTAAAGGCCGAGTTGCTGGTGCTGAAGGCCGTTTCGTTGTTGTCGTCTTCTTTTCTTCCAGTCGGACCTCGCGTACTTTGACATTCCACGGAGGCAGAAGGCCGGTCCACTCGGTTGTGACCATTCACAACGCGGCACGTTTGTAAGAGCGAATGCGTAGAGTGTGTGTGTGTGTGTGTGTGTGTTTTGAGAGAAAATGTAATGATTTTTCATTTTATTTTTATTATTAATGCGGTTGTTTTATATACAAGAATGCACCAAGTTTCCAGATTATTTTTTTGTTCTTTTTAAACTCATAATGCCAAGTGATTAAAAGTGTTGCTGTAACAGCCTCACGTTCATTGGGGATCGACCCTTCGGCCAGTATTGTTGTACAGTCTCTTTCTCACCTTTTCTCCAATCAGATTAAATGTGTTGGGTCCTCGGGGGCTGATTTAGCTGTTAGGAGATGAGGTGGGGTTTTTTTGTCTTTTGTCCGATGCATTTTAGAATGTGTTTTTTGTCTTAGATGTTCAATGTCTTTGCGGCCCACGTGAAGGAAGGTCCACAGTGGGCGGCGCAGGATGCGTGCACTTAGAACGGCCAGCTGGGGAGTTTTGTTTCCCAACGATGGCCACTGTTGACGCCTGTTTGTCTTGTTTTGTATCTAAATGAATGAATGGCATTGTGGGAGGGAGCTCTGCTGTACACGAATGCACTGCCAATCAATACCATGTCCACCCGTTGTTTTTACGGTTTGCCACGGCCTCGCATCTAAAGTCTAATGATTGTCGGCCTTGTTGCTGTGACCACAACGTCGCCCACGTGGAGTCTCCCCCACTGGTCCACGGCTTCGTCTTTGTCCTCAAGTTGCCCCCCAAATTCCCTGGTTAATATTGCTTATTTCTGAATTCCCTTTTTTCGAGGATCATACCAGTTTTTAGCCCTTTTAGTACACTTCACATGTACGTTACTGCTACCTGTTCTGCAAACCGTGCTACTGTGGTTAAGAAATTTGAATGTATTTTTTTAAGCAGTTCCAGATCCATTGGTTTCCACTCAATTGCATGTGTTCCCCGAAAGACTCTTGCTGGTTTGTAGAAGACATCCCAAGTGAACATCAGGTCCCTTTGCTGTAGCATTGTAAGGCAGCGTATTTCATCACAAAAGCATACTGTTTTTGGAGAACTGTATCTCTTGCCTCCGTCTCACACTCCACAAAGCAGCTGTCAGTACCCTAAAGTACTCCCGTTCAGTATCCGGCCCTGTGAAGTGCAGTGCAGACTTTTTTTTAATGAATCTGCACTACATTTACCTAAATTGTCACCATGTAATGCTAACCGATATGAACCTAAAAAATAATGAATAGAGACTTGATTCCTGGTGATTGATACACAACTCAAGGACAGTTGACGGATTCATTTTCACACCGTGAGGAAATGAATGTAACCAATGGCTGCTTGAGACAGCAGGACCCACACAGTGAGGGAAGTGTGAAAGCCCCCAAACACGTTGGCTTAAGTCGGCCTCCCTCCCTGCTGCCCGGCTAAGGGCCTCGTGTGGTAGCTGCTGCCTTCAATGACCAATTTTCAGTGAACTGAAGGGTCGAAAAAGCAGAGTGATTTATCGTCTTAAAACAAAGAAAAAAAGACACACGGGACTTGACTTCTAAAGTGTCCTCACAGCGCTTTCCTGTCCGCCCGCTGCAAAGCGAGCAGTTTGCGTGGAACACACTGTGGTAAAAGCTCCATCTTGTTCCTTTAACTCCCCCGTCTGTAAATCTACATCGCAGCAGATGTGCTTACTGTAAAGTTACTGTCAATGACTCGGGCAGATAAAACAAAAAAAACTAAGTGATGTCATACTTGTACAAATGAAAGCTCAATAAAAGACTTGAACAAATGTAAATACTGTATGTGTGTCATGTGTCATCTTTTCCCCCCCTTTGATTTAACAGTAAGATGAGTCATTTCAAATCTCTCCAACCTGCCAGAACCCAGTGTGCATTTTATAGATGTAGGTATGAAACAAATTAAATCATAATGGGAGTGATAAACACATTTATTAGATTAAGAACCTTACAATAAATCCAACGTATTTCAAATCGGCCCAAAGTGTTTTTAGTTTTCAGCATAAACTAAGTTAAAAGTGCAGCGTCAGGTGTTGTGGTCAAAAGGAGAGTTGCCATCAGCGATCCTTCCTCCGGGGCTCTGTGGCTTTACTGAGGTTTCCCGCCTCCTGTTTCAGAACGCTCAGAAGAGACTGGGAACTCTCCAAAATCTAGAGTTGGCAAAAAACAACAAAATCTAATAAGATATACTGCAAATCCCAAAAGGTAGAAGCAAACATGTGTGCACTGTAAAGGCAATTAAAACAGGGGCCTGTCTTGTTGCTCTTTAATAAGAGCGGCTTCGGAGTGTCTGTTTGGAGTGATTACTGGGAGTGCGGAAGGAGTTCAGCATCAGTAAGTGGGACGTGCCTGCGTGAGAAGAATCCGCAGCAGAAGGACAACATCACGGCGCGTCGCAAATAAAAAGAGAAGGCTGATCAGTCAGTTCATTAGCTTGTTAAAAATGAACGTGACGAAATGTGTCAATTCAGGAGATGAATCTTTCATAAATGATTGTGATTATTCACTCCGTAATGTTATGACTTAACATAACTTTTAACTAATAATAGCTATGAAAGGGCATGTTTCTCTCCAACTTAAAATGTGCATTTCATCAGGATTAAACTATATGTGTTGACTTGATGACAAAAAGGATTTCTTTCATCAGATGATAAATCCTGAATAACAAAAGACATTCTAAAAAAGCTGTAAGCTCCGAAGCGACAACAACTCGGTCTCTCCACACACCTTGGTGTACGCAGCCTCGGTCTCTGCGATGGTGCGGTCGAACGTGGTGCGGGCGACGAGTCGTTGTGCCAGACTCTCGTTGACCCGGCTCAGCTTCTCCGAGAGGACGCGGATGTCGTGCTGCAGCCGCTCCTTCTCCTCTTCCTCCAGCTTGATCTGACGGTTCAACTCCTCCCGCTTGGAGCACAGGTCCTCGATACCTGACGGGGAGACAATGCGGTTTACTGCACCGGAGCCTGGTTGGATCCGCTTGGCCCACCGACGGGAGACTCTTTGGCTCATAAACGGAGGGCTTCAGTTTTATATGTGCAGTAATATTACTGATTAAGTAAACCGCCTGTTGAAAACGGTGTGTTTGGCTCCATTGTTGTAAATAGAGAGAAATGCAGAGTATCTAAATACGTTCTTAAAACGGGTATTTAACTATGTATTATTGTTGGAGAACTTTAAAACATGTCTGGCTATTACCGATGCATGATGATCAACCTTCACTTCATGTCTGGCAGAACAGAAACAGGTAAACAAGCTTCTGATCGGGAAAACGTGTCGCTTCGTTGGTGGATCTTAACTTAACATCCCTGCTGTTCATTTAGGTGTTTTAGGGGTGAGAAAGGGACCAACAAATGTATTAAAACTACTCCAGATTTTTTTTGTTTAAATGAAAGGCTGTCGGCCCTTAGTATAAGTAGCGGGTTAATGGTCAATGGCTGATTTCAGTATGAAAGACATGATGGTTAAAGGTTGATCACGGTGTGCAGTATCATCCTAAAAGGAGACCGTGCCTCCCTGCGACAAACGAGCATGTAACGTAAACTACGTTTGGACCCACAATTAACTTACCTCAACAAAATCACAATGATTCCACGTAGCTTAAGTTAATCGTTTTATAGATAAAACTTGTTGGTCTAATATTGAATTCTGCACACCCCGTCGCCAAAATGGTTAACTGCGGTCAACGTTAATCCCCAGCACCGGACAACTAACGTTAATCCATCGATATAATTAGTGAGTGACAAGAGAAATAAAAACTTACACTTGACAAGTTCATTGTTGTAGGTCTGCAGAGCAGCAGCTTGCTGGGTCATGTTGGATTTTAAATAACTCCGAGGCTAAGCTTTAACCGCGGCTACTCCTCCACTCCTTAAGCCAGCTGACGTTAATTCATTTAACTTTACGTTACTTTTTATCTATCAAATAAGGGCGCCAGGGCTGAGTCGATAATATATTAAAATTTACAACTGCCTTCCGCAAGAAAAAGTGTTTTGAACGAAGGACCCGTAAAAGGCGGGTTTCCCGGGACAACTGAACCAAATATATTACCGGAAGCGGTGCGCATCTACGAGCCATTCAGGATGCTTCTTCTTCTTCGGTTTGTAGGTGCTACACGCCCGCTGCTGCTGCTCTTGCGACCTCCTCTGGCCGTTATCTCAACTGCAAGGCGATGCAATTATTTTTTAATTACTCAAATGTTTTGGTTAAGTAAGTAAAAGTAACAGTGCTGCAATGTCGATATACTTAACACTTAAGAACGCTGAAGTTGTAAAAGTAAATTAATTATTAAATTATTTCAATATTGAATTACAATTTTTGATATAACTTATACTGCAGCTGGAAAAGGTGGTAACATTTTAATTACTTAATAAACCACCCCAGGGTCCAATCTAACCTATAATACACTCAGTTAGGTCCACCTTGTTAGCAGCTGTCTAATACAGTAATTCCTTCCTTTGTGAAGGTTATCCTGTTTAGGCTGAAATTGTTTTTAGAGAGCTGTTGATTAAACTGATCATTCTGGCGGATGTTGTTTGTGTTCCTGTTGAACTGTGTTGCATCATATGGAGGGATATTTCTGATATTTAGCCTACAGCACACACGCACACATGGATATATGTAGACTAGATTCTTTAAACACATGCAGAAAATTATGATTACAACCCTCACAAAAGGAGGATTTATTGCAAGATTGTATGACTGTTGTAGATAGGTCTACCAAATTATTGAATATATTTTGTATGAATGTATTTCCATCTGAATTTGCAGGGAAACTAGTAGCTAAAATTATCAAATAAATAGATGGTAATACTTGTCTGTAAATTGTAATTAAAGACATATTAAGAACAAGAAAATGGATATGCTCAAGGAGAGTACGTTTACCTAAAATTTGTTTTACTGTAGGCTTACTTAGTGACTGGCCATGTTCACTGTGTATTGCACATTTAATTACAAGTTAACTCATTGTCATTCACATTCAAAAGTACACCCTGTGACGATTTGCTCATTCAGATGTTAACAGTTCACTTCCCCCCATTTATTTTGTTACTCTCCTTAAAGAATAATAAGTGTACAATGAGTATATTTTGAGTTGTACTGTAATTCAAAACGTTTCTATGAATGTTTTGAAAGAGGAATAACTAAAAGGAAAGTAAAATATGTAAAGACAAATACTCTTCAAATAGATACTGTAAGTCTCTTTCCAGTGGTGAAGAACTAAGATAGGAAACGAACATGCATGAGAGGAATCTGAACATCTGCAGAGCTGAGTGAAGACATATCAAAGGATCACACCTGCTGACACAACAAATTTGAAAGTAACAAGTACAGAGAGGCTTTTATAGAGCAAGCCTACCGGTAAATCAGTTTTACGTCAGTAAGTTAAGGCTTTTATCAGAAAATTATTTTGAATGAAGCAAAGCTACATAAGCTACAAATGAAATTCCTTAAGGTAAAGCCAAGTAAGCCTTAATATCAGATATTTTGAGTTGCCCTATAATACAAACAAAAGTATTACATTACCATGACTTTGTTCTAGTCAAATGCCATTTGTGTTTGCATTCCGCTCATATTTGTTGATTTTGTATTCAGGGGCCTCTTATCTGTAGGTTTGAATCCTTCTATAAGGCTTATTGTGCTGTAACATAACCCCCGCCTCCGTGATCTTAATATCTAATGGGTATTACCCACAGCATTATTATTATTGTTATTAACATTATAATAAACAATTTTATCCCCAGGTGTGGTATTACACCGGCGGCACAGCGACATATGTGACGTAAACGCGGGTGGGCGGAGTTTACGTCTAGGCACCATGGCTTCGGTTGGAACCGAGGTGAGTGTAGTGAGTATTATCTACGCTAAGCTTGCTTTACTTTCTAATTGTTTTCCGGGCCTTGGAAAATGTTTTTTGACCCTGGCAGCCAGTAACCCGCTTGTAAATGAGCAATTTATCGGTGTCGGGGTGTCGCGCTGTCGTAAATTGGCCGCTGCCAGCCCGCAGTCTCTTGCTTTTGTGCTGGACCGGAGGGCAGTTGAATGTGCAGGAAGATGCTGCGCCCCGGAACCTGAATTGTCTGTCGGGTCATACGGTGGGCTTTGAAACCGGGTTTAGTTATTCATGGTCCGGGCTCAAGTCACTGTCCTTCTTCTGTCCAGTTTTAGCGGTTCTAAATACATTGGCGATAGATATGCGTGCAGTTGTGGCCGACGTTATTCGTGGTTTTAGCTGTAATATCGTTTACCGGCTCACTTGTAGCTCATTTGTACACTGCTTGTTTAGCTAGCTGCTAGCAACCGTGCTAGCTAGCAGACAGTGCACACTTTCCCAAATCCACACAAAACCGTTGAACCGTTAAAGGTCTAACGTGTTTCTTTGACGGGCAGAGGCAAATCTCTGTGATTTGTCACTGTACGTATTGTGCCCGGTTGATGCCACGGTTTATCCCATGAGGCTGTGCAGTCTGTTAGCTTCATGATAATTGATGCCGTCAAATGAAGGCAACTGTGTTGCCTGCAGCCTCCCACTGTAAACACACGGCGCGAGCGTAGAACGGCTTTGATGATCAGTGCACGAATAACCTTTTCATATGAAACTTTTTTTTATTCCCCCTTCCCTTCCTTCTGCGGTATTGTCTTTGTTAGCTATGTGCACTTCTGGCCATGGCTTTCAGTCGGCGTTAACCGGTCCCGGTCCGGCTGTGGCATGTCGCCATGTTCTTCTGTTCAGGGCTTCATCCAGAAAGGATGGACTGGTTGAACTGCTGGTTCGGCTACAGTGGAAGACGAGTGTGCAAATGGGTCTGTCTGTGTCTTTTGTTTCTTCTTCTTCTTCTTCTTCTTTTTTTCTTCTTTTTTTTTTTCAAGAGCTCCACACTTGTTCGGCAGAGGTCGCTCCAGCAGCGTTGAGGTAGCACAGAGAGACAGACCGAGAGAGACGTGTGTGAGGCATCGAGGACACTGTCGTTGGCACTCAGAACTTTTGTCTTGTGAGATCTGTTAATGCATTAGAGGGTGGCTTCAAACACAAAAAAGACCTCTGGTGGTAAATAGCCATGTGGACGGTTTGGGTTTCATTCATTGATTTAGATCTAAAAATGTTGCCTCCTGAAAAAAATGTTGTTGTCGTTTTAGAAACAATGTTTGTAAATCATCAGACACCATCATGAGTCTTTACTGGATTTATTATTCTTCAAAATAAGTGTGCTCAATCACAACTGTTGACAATGAAGGGAGAGGACGACTATTCCCGCTAAAACGATAAATAAATTAGACGACTGACCAGAATGTAAATGATCAGCGCAGTTTTTATGAGCTACCTGATGAAATCTACGCACAGCAGAAAGCCTTTACAGACTAAAAACACACCTCTACCAACTGTACCTGGACTAGGTAGCACTTTATTAGCACTAATGATGTCACTTACTTAAAGCACTTTGTAGTTTGGCTTTCTTGAAGAATTTGTACTTTCATGATTGCTGTTACTCTCGGTTCGTGCCCTCTTGGTTAATTGTGCTCATTGTAAGTTGGTTTGGATAAAGGCGTCAGCTAAATGAAAAATGTGAATGCAAACAAAGTAAAAAGGTCAAGTTCCTGTTTTTCAAATGCTCATTTGAACGACTGACTAGGACCTTTGGTAAAACAAGTGTGTGCTGTTGTGCTTTGACTTTCCGAGAAAGGACGTGTCACTTCTTGTGTGACGGCCTCGGTTCGAACAGACTTCACGACGGGGAAAGATAGAGTTTGGTTACCCAGAGGCAGATTTGCTAAACATTGACAGCAAGTTACTTTACAGCAAATGTACAGCAACCATCCTTAATGTTTAACAATATTCAATCATGCGGATGAAACAATTCACCCCAACTGTAATTATCATATTGTTACTGAAAAAAAGTTATGGATTTCAGGTTGAAAGCCTGGGAATCCACAAAGTACATCAGACGCATGTTCCTGCGAGTGTGCATGCGTGTGTTGGCGAGCGTTCGCATGTGTGTCATGTCATTCAGCATTCGGTTAGTGTGTGAATGCGTACAGGAAACGCAACAGGAGACGAGGGTTGGCTGAATGGCGAGCGCTTCTTTTGGCTCTTTTAGGTGAAATACAGTTTGTCAACAATCAATGAACATCATGCGCGGGTACGATGGTGCTGACGCATCACTGCGGGTCAGAAACAAACAAGCAATCGTCACAACTATTTAGGGATAATTGCAATAAATATGCATGTGACATACGCTAAGATGAATTTACAGACTCCAAAAATCAACACTTGAATATATGTTTCATCACAATTTCTCCCTCCCCAATAGGAACATCTGTGTATGGATGTGAAATGATGTGATCGGCTTAAACCCTTTTTGAAAGAACATCCACAAATGTGTTACAAAAAGGGGATGTGTGACCGGCGTAAGCGAACAAGCATTGCTGAAATAGATGTTAAAGGCTCGTCTGATCGGTACACCGCATGTGTGGAAAAGTGAGGATGACTCACTTGTTGACAAACTGTTTTGGACAAAGCGATCGTTTCTCCAGTACTGATTGTGAAAGTACTCCGTTCCTAGAAATCGGTTCAATTTGGGGTCATTACAGATTAGTAACTTTACTGCCATCTCTGTAGCCTGGATTCAAACCTTTTTGGTTTCTGGCGCAGATGGAGACGTGCTCATCCTTTTAGGTTGGTCCATGGCGCTCCGTGGCGGTCACAGCTGAGATGATGCAGCTGTAAACGTTGTTTTGAGTTGCCTGAGGCAACGACTCTTCCCTCTCTTTCTTTTGATCAATATCAGCGACCTGCCCCTACGCCAGATCAAGTCTGAATGTGAGAAGAAGAAAAAAACGATCCGAAAGTGATAAAAAGATTTAAAACTTATAAATAATATTTGAATCTGAAAATATAAAATCATCACAGTGTTCTCATCTTCTTTCTGTGAGTAACACCGTAGTGTAGCGTGTTGGCTCCTTGCATTTTTCTATTGGCACTCAACACAAATTACAGCTGAGCCGAATGCTTTTGATCGTGAAGTATTATATAAATTGAAATTTTAACCTGAAGATGGTAGATGAAAACGTGTCCCAATAGACCTTTTTTGAATAGAGCTTGAACGCGTCATCATGTTACTCGATGAAACCTCGATTAGCTGTTGGCTCTTTTATTTAGCCAAGCTGAATTGTGCAGCACACAGCTTCCTCTTAACGGGTTCTAATGTCGTCTACAATGTAGCTTTAGGGGAGAAATGACGGTGCCATTACAATATGCTTTACAATACCAGAAGTCTCCAGCCCTGATCTCCGGTACAGACAGTACTTGCAGTACAGGTGGGAAGTTTATATATTTTTATTTCATTGCATTCCACCTAACGGTCCAAACGTATTTCTACAGCGCTGGAAGAAGACGAGGAGGCTTTGTCCTTCCCATCATAAATCTCTTCTTCAAAATGCCACTGAAACCTCGTCCAGCTGTTGAGATATTGACCAAATTGGTGGAGCGTATTTCTACATTTTTGCAATCACATCAACTTTATTAGAGTACGACTGCGAGAGCCCACACATGCTCAAGTGGACACAGACATTTGTTTAGCTGGAGGTAAAACGGGGTCGTCGTGGCGCAGGGGTTAGAGAAGGTGTGCTGGGAAGCACAAGGTTGTTGGTTCGATTCCAGGCTGCCCCATGTTCCACGTCGAAGTGTCCCTGAGCAAGACACCTAACCCCTAATTGCTCGAAAATGGCGAAAATGTGAAAAAGCCATGGGTTTAAATTGTGATGTAAGTCGCTTTGGATAAAAGTGTCTGCTAAATGACCTGTAATGTAATGTAATGTAAAATAAGTTTCACATTATATTGCTGCAGGCTCCAGTTTCTGTTGTTGTGTCAAGCTCATGGTCGGCCTCCTTTTGGGTGTTTTCATAGTCTCACATTGTGTTCACTGCCCTTTCTTTTCAAAACAGTATCTAGTATCTGCGGATTTCACAGTATCTTTACTCTATTGCAACTCTGCTGTGGTTAGAAAGAAGAACTTATTTCTCTTTTGTGCTTTGAGTCTTGAAAGTTGGTCAACCTGAGCTTGCATTTCAATACGAGGTTGTTTTTCATTGTTCAGTTGTGAAACAGGAGATGCTACCAACATCTCTCCATCTGCATTCCTACGCGACTCAATACAACACTTTACAAAGTGACAGGCTGCTATTCTGATTATAAACACAGTGATTTCTGATAACGTTTGATGGGCAACTTTGCTATTTAATGCACATTTTATGGACTAAATGGATGATTGAAAAACAATTAACCAATTATTATAATAAGGGAAAATACACAGCAGAGACCTTAAAACAGTGGGAAGCCTTTGTAATGGAGCACTGTGCCGACCTCGGATGGTACATCTTTACTCACTCTGTTCTTATCAGGCCTTTTTCCTCAATAGCAGCTCACTCCGTTTCTTCAGTTTTCTCTTGTCTTTTAGACAAAAGACTTTGCAAAGGTTTCAGGCTCCTCATCCCATTAGCTTCTGAGGCCTTCTTCGGCAGGGTGGCTGATTATACACACCCACTATGAAGTCTTAAACCCTGCCTTTACTTCGCTGACCAACAGCAGACAACAAAAAAGAAAAGAAGCAAATGGTTCTGGCTTCAAACTACAGATTACCTCAGTATTGGTGTGTGAGATGAAAACAATGGTAGGAAGCGGTCCTCCAGTCATATACACCTTTCAGTATTTACGTGGCGAGTCCGTTCCAGTGGACTCCTCCAGTGGCCGTGAGGTCTTCCTGTTCACAGAAATGGAGTGGTGCTACAGTTAGAAAGGACTGAGCATGCTCTGTGGAGACTCTTCCGGAGAGGAGCACCGACAGAGGGAGCCACCAGGTCACATGACCGGCGAGGTGCATGCAGGGAAAGAAAAAGGAAAAGAGGAGCAATCTGGTCGACACGTTCTCGTGCTCTCTCCCTCTCTCGAACACTCACACTCCCTCACACCCACACAGTCTCTCTCTCACTGTGACGCCTTCATCTTCTCAATGGAGGCCATGAGAAGAAAGCAGGTATGATGCTTCCTGGAGGCACATTGTGGAGAAAACACTTCTTTATACTCTTAACCCTTGTTTGGCTCTGTGGTCCGAGGAGAGATTCCTAGTCTCGCTCCTCGCTGCCTTTTAGCCGTTTTCTATGATTGTCAGTTGGTTTGAGCTCTTGCCGTCTTCTGGTTGAGACGGTCTCTCGGTTTGCAAGGTGCATTTCCCAAAGCCGCCGCCTTGTCAGCAGACTGAATGCTCTTGATTCCCTGAATCAAGGACTTACTCTCGAGGAGCAGTGTCTTGTTTTCTGGTAGCAGAGACGCTGCACGACAGGCAGATTTCAAGTGTGTTCTGAGCACAGCAGCTGTATTTAGAGCAACCGCACATTGGGAAGTATGATGTAACGTGTGACCTCGAGGAAGATCTGGGAGCGACCCTGATAGTAAATTTGACAATCTCGGATCCAATGTCCTGTTTGTGTCCCGTCCCTCTTGGTTGGTAAATAATGGTGTCAGGCGACTGTACATCTGTGCAGCTTCGGCTATTGGATGAAGAACATAGCGGAACACAAGGCTGGGTGCGTGTTGGGCGCCACAGCGCCGTCACCGTGAGAATCCATGTTTAGTGGCTTTGATCTTCTCTGCGGCGTTCTGGCTAAGGGGCCTTGCATCAGTCAGTTTGTACAATTAATAAATGGCCAGGTCATTTATTGGCTAATTCCTGCATTTTATGCAAATCAATCTCGGTTAGGGTTTTTTAAATCGTTGTTGTTTTGGTATGTTTTTTGCGATTCCATGGTCAGAGTGTAAGATCGTTAGATGATTACCAGGAAGCCCTGTACTCGTGTTGACTATGCGCAGTATCAAGAATGTTTTTAGCAAATTTCTGATAAACAGTTTGCTCCAATTTTGAGGGGCTGCAACTTAAAGCCGAGGCTTTCTAGTGGGGATGGGAAAAACCATAAGAAACGGCTGTGCAGAAGTGGACAAGTACCCTCTAATCAAAGTAGATCCTGCTTCGCTTTAAGAGACCACGGTGTGGATCGCTGCTCAAGAACTCATTACTGTTTTGTCAGGTTGTGTGAAATGAAGTCAGGTAGCATTCTATCTCATTTGGGTGTTAACCGCAGCCTGTGCGTGTGACGAGTGTGTCAGCTGAATGTGTGATGCTTTGTGTGTTCGTTTACAGGCACCCAGCAGCAGATCTTAAGATCACGTCAGTGTGAACATCCAGGCCTCGTCAGATACACTGACCACATTGTGTCGTTGGCCCGGTGAATGATTGAAGCAGTTTAATATTACATATAATAGATTATGGGGTTATTTCAAATAACCATTAAGCTCATTACCTTTTAATAATTAAGGTTCCTGATCAACACTTGGCACCTTGGCTCCGCATTTGGAGCTTCTTTCAGCAGCCGACACGTCCACGTGCCTCCAGACCGCTTCGTTCTCCATCTAGTGGAAAACCGCTGCAATGGCCGCGCAGTGTCAGTAAACAGTCTGGTTGCGAAATGGCGGAGATCTGCAGACAGGCTTCTCTGCCCCCCCCCCCCTTTTCCTTTCTGTCTCATGTGGCTTCCGTTCCACTTTCCACCACTAGGGGGAGGGCTGAAGCTGGTGTGTTGTTTTGGCTCTTTTTTGTAACTGGCTCTCCTCAATCATGGAGACACAGAACCGAAGGAGCCTTCGTCTCGTCCCCCTCACATGTGCTCAGTAGCAGCCTTGAGATCAGACGCCACGCAGGATCGATCTGGACTAGATGTTCTTTGGGAAACCCTCTCGGACATGGAGCTCCTGGCTCCTCTTGGCCTGACCTTGTTGCTGCGTGACGAGGTGCATGTTCACGTTCGGCTCAGGGAGTCCGGAGCACGTGTTTGGGGAAGGGTTCGGGGACTCTGCCGTGGGGCCTCGTCTAGTTGGGAAGTCGGTTGTGAGCAGGCTTCGGGACAAACGCTGTGTATCTGAGGTTTGACATCCGGAGCCTTTTGGAGAGGAGAGTTTAATCTGTTATAATGAAGCTGGTTCTGAACTCTTGTCTCTGGCAGGTCTTGTGATTGGCAGAAAGATGTTTCCTCTGCTGTCTGGGGACAATCCGATTCAGTGGCTGCATTTACCACTCAACAGAAAAGACACTGGCCATAGGCAGCCGGAAGTATCCATGTAGCCGCCTAAATTCTGCTCGGTTTGAAACTCACAGTTGGCCAAGGGGACAGTAAACCTTGCTGTTGAGTCCTAAAGTAATGCTTCTTTAGGGAAACACAGTGAGAACTGTCCCTTTTGACATTTGAAGAAGCAAAGGTGGACCTAAAGAGAAAGCAAAAGCATGGGTTACTGATCTATTGGGCCCCTTGTTTGGCCTTGGTGCCTTTCCCCCCCCCCCCAGATTGAGAACGAGGTTGCCTGTCTGCTCAGGCAGAAGAGAGACTTTTAGATTTCCTGCCACTTCGACCGCTGCGTCCCGTGAGATGTAGAGACGGTCTGTGGGTGGCAGGGGTTTCTTTTGAAGCTCGGGCCGTGCGTCTGCTGCTCTCCGAGTTGGCTGTGGCGTAGAAAGAGAGAATACAGACAATGAACGCGACGGGGGTCGCCCTCATGGTCTCTGCTCAATCTATAGTCTTTGAGTCCGACAAAGACGCGTTACTGAGAAGAAGCCACGTTGGGTCTGTCAGCGGAAGTTGGTTTTATTCAAATACCAATGCCTGGGCCTGGATTTCTTTTGATAACCAAGCAAAGCTGGCAAAGATTCTGCTGCTTTTCTCAGTTAATATATAATTTAGGGCTGCAAAAATTCTTTTCCGAATCATTTAAGCTGTCTTTTTGCTTTTTCACTTAACGTTGATAGAAATGAGAAAAGCCTGAGAAAATGTTTGCGCCTTTTGCTTGATAAATGACCTAATTGCTTAATTGATTATGAAAATGGTCAAAATCAACTAATCAATTAATTGTGTAGGAACATTTTGGGAATTTTCAATTGAGTGAGAAGGTTATGGATTGAAAACAACAATAACATAGTTGTCATTGTGGTTTCCCTTGACCCGTATTCTTGTGTCATCAGCCCGCTGGTCTAGCCAAGGGCAGCGTGGATAACGGTGCATCCACAAAGAAAGAGGAACATGATGCCGCAAGCAACGGAGAGGAGAGACCAGGTATTAGTCAAATCCCACTGTCAAGTGCTTCATTTATGAACATGAACTGTTTATGTTGTAATTTGCATTTTTGTTTTTATTCCACAGATGTAGACAAAGACGTAGCTGCTAGACTGTCCTCTTCCCCTCCAGCAGAGGCGATGCTGAACGGCACGGAATGTGACGCGGCGTGGCGCAGGAGCAGCCCGACGCGCGGCTCTGCCACCAGCAACAACAAGACTTTTCTGTTGCTCAACGAAAACGGCGCGCTGGACGCGGAGCCGCCGCACGGTTCCGTCACTGGGAGCAACGGATTCATTCTCACTAAGCAGCAGCAGGACGAGGGCGCCGGCTCCGGCTCTGCGGCAAAGCCGGGTCCGGGAGTCTCCCCCCACAGGACTAACTGGTTGCCTTCGGGCTCACCGACGGGGACACACACGACCAAATCTTCCCCGGCATCGGCGTCCGGGTGCGCGCAGAGTTCAGGCACGCTAAGGACTGACCCCAGTACGGGGACTACGTCGGGACAGGAGACATCAGACACTAAGAACGGCACGGCCTCGTCTCCTGTCCCGGTTCCGGCAGCCGTCACGATACACAGAGCGCGCAAGACCATGTCCAGACCCGCTGTGACCCCGGCACAAAAGGTAAACCGGCCAATCAGAAGGGTTTCCTGCTCCTCTCTCCTATTACTATTTCCTAAAGATTTCTGTCAATATTTTGAATTCTCAACAGCATATCAGTGTTGTCACACAACTACATTAACATTCAAAGTACGTGTGTCCCCCCAAACTACAGCCGTTAATCTGCTTTCTTTCCACTGGATTTTGAAACATGTCTGCAGGAGCGTTTGTGAGGTCCAACACCAATGTTGGTGTTGGTAGAGATAACTGGATCACACACATATTTTTGAGTTCATCCCTAAGGTGCTGAAAGAGGGTTTGGGTCATTTGTGGAAGCCAGTCTAGTTCTTCCAACCCAAACTGGAAAAAACTGTTTCTTTATGTTCTCCCTACACACTGTCTAAAATGTCATTGTATCCATTCAGTTGTGTTGTGATTATCATTTGGCCATAACCGGGCAACATTAATGGAAAGCGGGAGACTATTTACTCAGCCATGACATAACATGTTGAAAGGTCGCCGAACAATTTAGATAAAAGAAGAAGCACAAAGGTAAAAAATGATCTCATTAACACTACTTTCTATGTGGGTGTTTTTCTGAGCTGGCTTGTTGCAGGAGGACCTTGTTTACTGTAACACAGCGGTTTCTTCCTGTGTGACTCCCAGTCATGTGGACATAACATCAGGGTGAAAATGAAAGAGCGTGTGACATATGGAACAATGAGCGATCCCAGTGACAAACAGACCTCATGTAAATCCCTTATGCACGAGCTATGACGATGACCATAACGGATTCTGGTTGTTGTTCCTTGCAGCTTCTTAACCGGGAATTAAGGGAAGCAAAGAGTGCCAAAACGGAGACTCGCGTTGAACCCTCGCAGCAGCCCTCGGCGCAGAACCATCTACCTCAGAATAGCCCGGACAGTCCAGCTTCAGCACCAACCGCTTCATCGCCAGTACCTCCGGCTGCTCCCGCTACACCTCCGGCCCCTCCAGCTCCCGAGGATGCTCCGGACCCCCCGGCTTCTGCGGCTCCTCAAGCCAGTCCCACTCCTCCGGCTCCAGCCAAGCTCCAACTAGGTGAGACAGACTCCAGAAACACTGACTCTGGGTCAGAGACAAGTGGTCAGGACGGAGCCCCGCCTCCATCTGCGGTTTGGCTGTAAACGCGCGTGTTGTTCTCTTGTGCTGCAGGTCCGTACTCGGGAGGGTTGTCGTTACGGAAGAAGAAGAGGAGGATGGGAATGTACAGTCTGGTTCCCAAGAAGAAAACCAAAGTGCTTAAGCAGAGAACTGTGCTGGAAATGTTCAATGAACTGCGAGAGTCCGCCAAGAGCCCTCAGGTACTTTACTCCGCAAGTTTATCAAAGCAAACTCTATTCAGGGCGCGATGAGTACGGTTATCAGGACGACGGGGTGATTACCCAAAAGGAGGTTCACTCAATCATTCCTGAAGACACGCGAAGAGTCTGAGACTCTCCCTTTTGACCTTCTCCCATTTCATATTCGTATGTCGTACGTTTTATCAGCATCAACCTCTGTAAGTAAATACTAGCAACAAGGTGCCAGACCATAAGCGCGCATCAAAGAGGAAGCCACGAACAATGGGTGGTAAATTCAGAGTGAATCTGCTTGGAACCCTCCTGACAAAACCCTTCACGCTGTTTTTAACTCTGATCTCTTCCTGTAGCACTTTGCTAGCTGCTTGATGAACAGCAGCAGAAATCCCCCAGCCCTGAATCCTGTTATTCTTAAATAACTGTTTAATATAATAGACGAGGCTAAAGTGGACAAACGCAGTCGTAAATTAACTGGACCTTTAACTGGTCTTTATCAGTTATATATATTATTTGTTTGTTTTATTAAACCAAAAAGAATGAATACTTGATTGAGATTGTCGTCCTGTCTCCCAGGCTAAAGAGGTAGCGAACATAAATGGCGAGAAGTTCGAAATTGCATCTGAAGAAGAGGAGTCCGAGGAGGTGGAGTCTGAGGAAGAGGAGCGTCAGCAGCGGACAGAAGAACCCGTCAGCACCGTCCAGGAAGCAACATCGGAACCTGTCTCTCAGGTGGGAACAAACATCCTGCCATGATATGGGATCCTTTTATTCTTAAAGTAGATGGAGCTTTTTTCATTGTTTGAGACAGGCAGGTCCCTTTGGAAGAGCAATAAGTAACATGCAGAATAATTAGGGTGTTAATGGAGTCAGTGATGACAACACAGAATATATTGAAACATTTCAGATGCAGGTGGGCGATGAGGTGGAGTCTGAGGAGTCCGGAGAAGAAGATGGAGAGGAGGAAGGCACAGAGTCCGACTTGGTAAGACCGGCCATCGGTATTCAGAAGTGTCACATCTCATCTTGCATCGTCTCTTGTGAGTGAAGACAGAAGAGCTTGAAAGTCTTCTGTGCGTGCGTCTGCCTCAGAGCACCGAGTCCAGTCTGAAGAAGAAGTTGAAAAAGAAAATGAAGAGCGACGGCCCGTGGCTCAAGCCGTCCAGGAAACGGAGGAGGAGGAGGAGGAGGATAAAGGCCAAAGGTGATTGTCACACGCACGTGGCTCGGGAAGGTAGAACAGGTTGGCCCTCGATGACAATCTTAAAATTCATATACTTTAAGCAACATTTTCTTAAATGTTCAGAATCTCATCTGGAGACCGTAGTGAGTTTAAGATGGTTACACTCCTAATCATAACTATTCATAGCTCCTCTTATGGATACTTGACACACTTTCCTTCAAATCTCAACTTGAGACATTTTGTCATGTTCTTACGGAACACTGTCGTTGTGCTCAGACCTGGAGGCAGCGGATCAGCCCGAAGCTTCAGCTCAGGCCGAGCGGGCGGACGGGGAGGAGCGCATGCAGCTTTGCTCCCCGGAGTCCATCAACCTCAACGAGCCCCCGAAGCCAACGGCTCCCCCACAGAACAAAGGTGAGATTAGAACCAATGTGGTTCCACCACTTACTATCATTCTGTTATATTGCTACACCTGACGTGGTCATTCAGAGTGAAGAAAAGTCAAACGTCCACCACACCAGCATCGTGCATGATGATTATCTCACTTAAAACCTTTTTCCCGTTGAGATCACAGCTCCTTCTAGAGCAGTTTTCAGTCAGTAGCCTTTGGTTCATTAATTGTTTGGTACCAACAAATATATGCTTGAAGCACCGAGTAACGTAAATGGTCATTTGTGCGTCCACATTTGTTATCTTTTATTACTTATTACTTATTTTGTTGAATAGATAAATAGTTCCTGGTTCGACGATTTCCTTTTACATTAATAAATAAGTAAAACATTGTGCAGATGCTTGTGTTTCAACAATCATTTAACAGAATAGAAGTATAATGTAGTGCGTCGAGTCCTTCTTTCGATCTAACTGAACCTGATTTAAACTGTGAGGCAAATGGAGGTAATGTCTCACTTTGCTCGTTAGCAGACACTTCGGGGTCCGTGATCGAGGAAGCTCAAGAGCTTCCACTCTGCAGCTGCCGCATGGAGACGCCCAAGAGTCGAGAGATTCTCACGCTGGCAGACAGGAAGTGCATGGCCACGGAGAGCGTTGACGGACAGCTGACCCGCTGCCAGGGTGCCATACTGAAACATGAAATGATGCGTCCCTCCAACTCTGTTCAGCTGCTGGTCCTGTGCGAGGACCACCGCAACGGCATGGTGAAGCACCAGTGCTGCCCCGGCTGCGGCTTCTTCTGCAGGGCTGTGAGTGCACATCGTCTCTGTCAATGTCGGGGCTTCAGCGGGGGATGATCATGTCTCACTGGAGGGGATGGACTCGGGGCTGCTTTCAAGAGCCTCCAATGGCTCATTAATGGCTCTCCAAAGTGTAGAGCCATTAATGCAACCCGTTGTTCTGCCATATTTATATGTTTGACTGTTTGACGGCATGTGGTTTTCTGTAGAGAGCATTACTAAAAACATCAATTATGAGTACTGGCATTAGCGAACATAATAATCTTTGCCACTTCACTAATCATTCAATAAAAAACTGAGCTCCACAAACTTACAAAAAGAGGACCTAGAGGTGCACCTCTCCATCATCCAGCTCTTCCATAATTTTCTTGCAGCACTGGACCTGTGTTGGGCCAAACCTAAATGGAAAAATAGAATAACGCCTATAAAATAAATCAATGACTGCATGACAAAGGATTTGAAAAGCGCTGGTTCAAATGAAAAACATTCTACGCACACAGCAGTGTTGTGGAGGCATCACATGGGAGGTGCCTGCACCACACAGAGATCCCTTAAGGGCACAGCTGCATCAGTATGAATCCGCCAACACAGATCATTTGGTTTTTCATTCGGTTCTTGGTCAACTTTTCACTGCGCTGATTGAAGTGTGTGGATGTTTCATGCTGAAAAATCCACCTATCATCCTGCACTGTGTAAAATAAAATGGAAGCAATTTACAGTTGTGCCATTTATTAAGATCTGACGACACTTAAACACACAAGGTTCAAGATAATATAAAGCTGCTGAATTCCAAATTCAGAACGTATCTAATCTAATAATGGTCTTTCCGTTGCTTAGGGGACCTTCATGGAGTGCCAACCGGACCTCAGCATCTCTCACCGTTTCCATCGTGCTTGTGCGTCAGTGCTGAAAGGTCAAAGCTTCTGTCCCCACTGTGGAGAGGAGGCGGGCAAGGCCAAGGAGGTCACCATCGCCAAGGCCGACACGACCTCTACTGTGCCCCCCGTGCCGGCGCTCACACACGGACCCGCTACGCCCGGGGTCCCCGAGGGCCGAGCGGACACCACCACCGGCAGGTAAAGGACCACCCGGGGAGTCTGAACGGGCGGGAAACTTCCTGTATGTAATTACGGTCGGTGGTGAACTCCGGCCCTTTTCTTCCAGCTCCTCTGTTCCTGCGTTGGGGGCGGAGGTCAGCGGCAGGGCCGACAGCTCGCTGTCGACTCCCTCCGCACACGGACTCGACACGTTTGCCGTTGCCGGGTCGTCCAGGACCTCAACGCCGCCGTCCGGGCTGGCGACAGCGGTGCTACCCGCAATCCCTCCAGGACCGCCGAGAGAGACTCTGGAGAGCATCCTGGTGGCGCTCGACACGGAGAAGTGCGTCCTTCCTGCAGACTGTAGTTGCGATTCTTCCAAATGACCGAAAAGCCTGCAGCTTTAAAGGAAAACACAAGACAGCCCACTAACTATTTTTGTTTTGCTTGTGCGTGTTTCAGGCCAAAGAAGCTGCGCTTTCACCCCAAACAGCTTTACCTCTCAGCCAAACAGGGAGAACTGAAGAAGGTCTTGCTCATGTTGGGTCCGTTAAACTTACATCTTCCTTTAGGTTCTCCGTGCAATCTTTATCTTTCTCAGTATGCATCTGACGTTTTCTGTATTTATCCTCCAGTGGACGGTATCGACCCTAACTTCAAGATGGATTCTCAGAACAAACGCACTCCGCTCCACGCTGCAGCGGAGGGAGGCTACAAAGACATCTGCCACATGCTCGTGCAGGTAACACATTCTTTCAGTCCTGCCTTGTGCGTAGTCCTGTGCTATTATGAGTAATAAGGTTGGTTTTAGATCTTTAGTTTGATCTTTTAAGATGAGTCCCACTGTGTACACTCAAAAATGTCATACTTTTAACAGTTAAGGATTATGGCAGGCTCTCCTGAGGTCTCTATGCAATGTCCTTTTCCACTTCAGGCGGGAGCAAACTTAGACATGTGTGACGACGATCAGCGCACGCCACTGATGGAGGCCTGCGAGAACGACCACATTGAGACGGCGCAGTACCTGCTGAGAGCTGGAGCCAGCGTCACGCACAAGGTCAACCTGCGTCTAGTATAAGAAAGACAAATTATGGAAAAGAAGCTTATTAATTCAAGTTGTTAAAGTGACATTACTTATTTTATCACGTGTGTGTGTGTATAGAAACTAATCTTTAATAATTGATTGATTCCTTTTCTTAGGATGTTGAAGGATTCACGTGTCTGCATCTAGCTGCAAAGTCTGGCCATTACAACATCGTTGAGCATCTTCTCTCCACAGGCTTAATCAACATTAACTGTCAGGTTGGTACAGTTTCCCATTTTCAAATCAGCCACTTTGATCTCTTTGATCAGGTTTATTGTAGTCGAGATAGAAGATATCCCACTCATTCACTGGCATTGTCTTGTACTAACATTGCCTCAAGTTGTTCTATTTGGGCTGAAGATGCTGGAGTGATGGTCAGAATTTCTACAAATAATGCAAATAATTCAAATCTTGAACAATTGTAATCAACAATCAAAATCAACAATTCTGCATTGGGACAAACTGACTAAAAGAATTTAATTCGATTGGAGAGTGACTCCACTTATTGTTTCTCTAAGGTTTTAAGATGAGTATTTAAATGTAAACGTTGTATATTGACTGTATGCCTCCTTCAAATGTACTTTGATGCCAGAATATTAGATTTAGACAGACTTTGTTTGAAATGTTTGACTCCACTGCAAGAAGGTTTTCCTTGCATCAGTGAAGACACGGTCTTTCCTCGGATGAGGAGCAAAAAGGGCAGTTTGATATGTAGATATAATTGTACGGCGGCACCGTTTGAGCTTTACTTAGCCGATCAGTTTGCTGAGCTTGACAGTATCTCTTTCCCATCAGGATGATGGAGGTTGGACAGCCATGATCTGGGCAACGGAGTACAAACATGTGGACCAGGTGAATCTGCTTCTGTGCAAAGGTGCCGACATCAACATAAGGGACAAGGTACGTCTCAGGTGTCCGTCCACTGGTGTCGCGTGCGGCCCACATGGATCAAATATTGGTTGACTGGCGTTTTGTGTCGTTTTGTCGTCTAGGAAGAGAACATCTGCCTTCACTGGGCAGCGTTCTCGGGCAGCGTGGAGATCGCCGAGCTTCTACTGAACGCCCGCTGCGACCTGCAGGCGGTCAACATCCACGGAGACTCTCCTCTACACATCGCTGCTCGGGAGAATCGCTTTGAATGTGTCACGTGAGTTCCCGCCTCTAGAAAGAAAAGAAAAGCTTGGAGAGAAAATTAAATGAAATGAGATTTGATTCAATGTTGTTCCAAAGCTACAATTTGGGCTTGTTGTTGGTAATGGGAAGAATGTGCTCTCCTCAGGCTCTTCCTCACTCGGGGAGCAGATGTGTTTCTGAAGAACCGCGAGGGAGAGACTCCACCAGACTGCTGCAGCCACAACTCCAAGGCCTGGGCGGCCCTGCAGACCAACCGGAGGGAGAGGGACGCCAGGAGCACCAGGCTCTCTCGAGTGGAGGCGAAAGTCCTTCAGAGGTTGAAATTATGCTGTGAAAATTGTAGGGTTTGAGGAAATAAGGGAGGGGGGGGTCTTTTGAAATGGGCATGTGTCGGTTACAGGTAGAAAGAGTTCAGGGTCAGATAGCAAAGAAAAGGTTTTGACCCCAGCGTCTGACCATCTGATTTGTTTTGCTTGTTTCTTTTTATAGTGACATAGCTCTGGGGCAAGAGAAGGTTCCCCTTCCCTGTGTCAACTCTGTGGACAGCGAACCATACCCGGACGACTACAAATACATCCCCGAAAACTGTGTCACCTCCCCCATGAACATCGACAGGAACATAACGCACTTACAGGTGAGTTAGAAACCGTTGCATCCGCTATCTTACGGGGAATAAAAAGATCTATGTGCTCGCAGGTGTGAAGTGACCAATAAGAATCTTCCCTTCTTCCTTCACAGTACTGTGTTTGTAAAGAAAACTGTTCCACGAGTATCTGCATGTGTGGGCAACTGAGTCTGCGCTGCTGGTACGACAAGGTAAGAGACCTCCACTTAAACCCACCAGTCATCTTTAACGAGATGTGTGAATATACGGTTTAGTGTTTAGTATCTAGATCACAGGGGAGATATCCTGTGCATACTGTACGTCCTCATGTAGGTCATTTTTTGTTGTCGTGTCTAGAGGGGTTGTCTGCTACCTGAGTTCTGCCGGGAGGAGCCTCCGCTCATCTTTGAGTGCAACCATGCATGCTCCTGTTGGAGGACCTGCAAGAACCGCGTGGTGCAAAACGGAATCAGGTACTCAAACTTGATCCGTGTGAATACAAACAAGAAAACCTTCCACCTTTCCTTCTCAAGTTACTTCTAGTTGTGTTTGCTTGACAGTTTTAAAACTCACAACTTCTGTGGTGTTAGAATTATGCTCCAGATGTTTGGTTGCAATTATCCTGCAAAGTTCAGGTTTGGAGGTAAAGGTGTCACAGTAATTATCTGCTTCAGGGAGTAATTCTGACTTTAGTTCTAAAGATGTTTGTGTATCTTCCAGGACCCGGCTTCAGCTCTTCAGGACCAGTAAGAAGGGCTGGGGTGTCCGTGCAGTACAAGACATACCACAGGGGACCTTTGTATGCGAGTAAGTCCCGTCTCTCAGATACAACACTGCTCATGTTTCCTATTTCACTTTTGAACCACAGACTACAGTGTAATGCAGCCACAGCTTTGCATCCTTACTGATCTGTCATGGAACACAGAGCAGCCAGGCTGTTTAAAAGCCACGCCTCCCCGATAATAATCATAATTTTAAAAAATGTGCCACTCTCACACATTCAGTGTTTGCATCCCGACAGACGGTAGCAGCTTTTCACGTTCAGAAGTGCTGTCGATGTCCCCGAGGTGTTTTTGCTGTTGTGACAGTCATTAGCCTGCTCATTTTTTTTTTTAATGGCAACATCAGGGTTTGTGTGTCTTTTCAGAAAAAGGCTTACACCAGTATAACAGACTATAGTTTATTTTTGCAGTTGTCTAGAGAAGCAACAAGTTCCTGACTAAACCTTGTTTATTCAAAACAACCTTTTTACAGTTTAAGTAGGGCTGCAACTAGAAATAATCGACCGATTAATCGATTATTAAAATAATCATTATTTTAATAATCGATTAATCGGTCGATTATTTCTTTGATTAATCAATGAATCGGATAAAAAATAAATAAAACTCATTAAAAAGCTTTAAATTCCAACCCTTTATTCTAAAACAGAACTGCAAATTCACATTAAAAAAAATACTTCAGAAAGTACACGTTGCTCCTTGAACACAATCATTGATACATTTTCCGATTTGTATTTTTCTTTTTAACAGGATTTGTTTTAACGTCAGAACTTGTTCTCTATACTACACTCACAAACACACCCCCATGTTCACTTGAAGCTTATTCAATAAATTATCACCATCATTGTAGTGCAAGTAAATGTATACACCCCATCTAAGTACAGCTAAAAAACAACCAAGTGCTAAGGCTTCTTTGTTAGCCGCACTGGTTTAATAGATCACCGTGTCTCCCTTTACAGGCATAACATCAACTACCGTATAACCCACAGTATATGCGCAAGCACACTAGACAACCGTATATGACAGCATTAAAAACACATACAAAAATATTTGTAAACAATAACCGATATGGGACCAAGCATGACGTATATATACAAGACAACAGATTGAAAAATGAATGGTCCAAAAGAGGCGAGTAAATAAAAACGTGTCTTAGTCTTGCTAATTGCTTTACTGCGGCTATTAGCGAGCTAACGCTAGCTTGATCTGGATGACGAACGGAAGGCTCCTTACGCTCCTCACATCAAAGCGGAACAACGTGGTGCTCCCGTGCCAGGTTACGTCGACTTTGCATATTTTGCTATTGACACACTTTCAGGGCTCTCAAGTGTCACACATTTCGGTCACTAGTAACGCACTCCCGCCACACATCCAATTTCTCACGCTAAAAAAAAACAACTTCCTCTTCAACCTCCCCGTCGGCCATAGCGTCCAATAAATTCGTTTTTAATAATTGAATTTTAAGTCTGGAATTTTTTTCACTTCTACAATTGTCTACCCTTTGTGTAACGGGGTTAATGTTCCACCTGCCATTACTACAAATACAAGGACGATTACAGAGGCGGTGGCGCCCTCTAGTGGGCTCCTGGGCTCCAGCACCAGCACCATCCCCTCCACACTGAGTTCCCTCAGAAAAAGACAATATTTTAAACCACAGAGTAAGACATAGTTTCATTTTTGCAATTTCAATTATATAATTAATTATAACAAACTTGCCCCTGGGGCTTTACCATCTGTTCAACATACCACATCTTCTGCCCTGGCACCCTCGCGCCAGACAAGGCGCAGCGGCGAGGACACATGCGATAGAATAAAAAACATTAATATATACAACATGGTCACAGGCAATGCTGCACTCCAAATTCCTTATGTAGAACTAACAATGTGATAAAACATGTTTGTTGTTTTATAAAAAAAAAAATGACTCTGGAGGCCCAGTCCAGAGTTCATGAGAAGGTAGCTGGTGGAGTATTGGTTCAGTTCCTCACGCTCACATTTTTTTTTTTTTTTTGTGGAGTTGTCCGTGCCGATTTGTGTAATAAAAAATAATAATAAAAATTGTGTAATAAAAAAAAAAGACTAACCTTTTGGGTTCAGTGTTTGAAAAATACATGAAAGGTTTTTTTTTTACCAGCGGGGCTTTTTGAAGCTCGGTATCTCAGAACTGCAGTCTTCGATGATAAAGCCTTCCATGAAATGTTGACGGGAAATGTCTGCAGCTACTGACAGGTCGCCTGCTTTTCAACAGGTACGTTGGTGAGATCATCTCCGAAGCCGAAGCAGAAATGAGGCAGAATGACACTTACCTGTTCAGCCTGGATGATAAGGTAAAGCACTAATGCGTCGACAACATCCTCTAAAATAATGATGATGATTTCCTAGTTACTATTCAGACGTTCTGTGTATATCCGCTCTTTACTTCAGGAATTATTTCAGCTGTGCACTAGCAGCCTTTTTTCCTTGTTTCTCGCTCATTTATTTTCCCCCTGCCAGCCACAAGACCTATACTGCATCGACGCTCGTTTCTATGGAAACATCAGCCGCTTCCTCAATCACATGTGCGAGCCCAACCTGTTTGCCTGTCGAGTGTTCACGACCCACCAGGACCTCCGGTTCCCACACATTGCCTTCTTTGCCAGTGAAAACATCAAGGCTGGAGAAGAGCTCGGGTAACACTTTATTATTTTTTTTACCAAATCTCCCCCAACCCTGGAAGTAGGATTAATGCAGGCTTGGATTAAATGACAGTATTTTTCTATAACAATCATCTCTCTCTCTCTCAGATTTAATTACGGCGACCACTTCTGGGAAGTCAAAAGCAAGTCGTTCAGCTGCGAATGCGGTTCTTCCAAGTGCAAGTACTCGTCAGCGGCCATGGCGTCGCTGCAGGCCGACAGCACACCAGAGGGCCGGCAGCAGCCCAGTGCGTCGCCCGACACCAGCTCTTCTAACGCCCCTACCAGCCCGTCCTAAAACCCCACCGCGCTGGGCTCCATGTGCACCCAGCAGATGGGACGCTCGAGGACTCCCGTGCGATGCAGCCCGTCTGAACGTTAATCGATGGACTCGTACTCGATCTCCACTCCTTATTGGAAACACAGACATTCTAGACAACCCGTGAAACACAGATGCACAATCAAATTCTGGAAGAACTCGCTGCTGCTTTATTCCAGCTCGTGCACCATGAACATCTTCATGGTCAACGTGACATCGACGTGACCCACGGCACAGTCACAGGGGACAATAAAAATACCTTACATTCTTTATACGTCATAAATAATGTCACACATTACTTTACTGGGAAGGCACACTGTGTCGTTGGTCGATTTCTTTTATTTTAAGATAATGGGTTTAAATTGTTATTTGGCTTTAAAAAAAAAAATCATTATTATGGAAACTCTGGGTCGGGATGAGGGTATCGTTGACTTTTGCAAAGACAACCTCAGCATTGGGCTGGGTTTAACTTGTTCGACCTTTTGCGGTCATTTATCATAAACCATTCCAGCAAGATTAGCTGATAAATATCGACTTGCCACTTCTTTGTGTCCCTTCATCAATGTCCAACATTCGCCACCGTGGTAGATTTAAAAATTGATGAATGAACTGAAACGATGGGAAAGACAAAGGCGTGGCGCATTAAAAAGTGGACTGTTTTGAGTATAGATTGTCAAGAGAGAAAGATGCTGTATCATTCCTCCAAGACGAGGCGTTTCTGTTGTGAATAAATTGGTTGGCCGTTTTATTAAGCATGCTGCCACAGTTGTGGAAGATTTCATTAAACTGAAATAGTTTAAAACAAGAAAATGGTGCTGACAAAGATTTTTGTTTTCATTTTTATTACCCAATTGAACATAGTTTGTAAGATAAGAGAACGTTTTACGTTTTTTTATGTTTTCATTTTAACTCCACTTTTCTAAGCGTAGTTACTGTAGTTCGGCTATTTTTGTTTCATGATTTTGTTGACAGAAGCCAACCAGTCTTTTTAAATGTTGTTAGTAAAGCAGTGACTCTTGTGCAAAGTCTTGAAAGGTATAAATGACAAAAAAAGGTTATTAAAATGCAATTCATAACTTTCTGTTACATATTTCTGGACCGTGAACCATTCACCTAATTGGTTGTATCTTTTTCAATAAATTTACTACTAATGCATTTATTCTGACACGCTATTTGCTGCGTTTTTTTGTCTTGGGAAGCCAGCCTGGAAATCCCATCGCCTCTTTCTCCAGCTCAGTCATTTAGCTGATTTTGTTCATTTCCAGTGAGACTTTTTAAAGCTTGTTATCTTGTCAAACACTAACACTGAAAGATCTGAAGCCTGCAGTCAGTTTGACCCTCCACGAACCGGGCAGCCGCTCGGTTTTTGACAGACGGGGGCCCAGGGCACGGCGCCGAAATACTGGAGCAGCTGAGGCCTTCTGAGCTGCTCACACTTCCTGCACGCAGTTTGCTTTAATGACTTTAGATTTTCAAAGCGTCTCGCCTCCGCCTCGATTTTTAGAGAGCTGCCGGAGACCTCTATTCAAACCAATGGAAGGTGCAACTAAACAACGGAAAATAATTTGATTTAAAAGATTAAAAGCCAAAGCGAGGGTATTTATACATGGCATTTTTTTCATAGAATAAATGTAAGAAATTTAAAAAATGTTCAACGAGAGTCTGACAGTATGGCTGGATATTGACATAGTGGCGATTACATTAGCAGGCTGATAAAACTTACAATACTACAAACAAAGTACAGTTAAGGTCATACGTTTTGCAGCCAAAATACAATGCAATCCATGTGGTTTTTGGTCGATATTTAACTTGCCCAAAGAGATGCCACTCCTGACAGTTTCTTGGATAACAACAAAGCTGTTTGTTATCCAAGAAAAGCTGACATGTTACAGTCTTAAAATCCTTATCAGCAAAGCCAACATTAAGTATAGCAGCTGGGAAAACTTTAACGTTTTGTCTTCAGTCACAGCAGTGCAAGCAGTGTTACTCTAGAATGCCACAGAGTGTGTGACCTCCCAGCAGTGAAGCCTTGATGTGTAACTGGTGTGTGTTTTATCGACTAGAATAAGATGCAGACCCTGGAGAAGCCTTTTTTTTTTTGAAGAATTTTATTTCTTGAACATGTAGACACCAAATAATAAAAAATTTAAAAATCAACATAGACGTAGACCACAAAATGAGAAAATACACCTTTTGTTCAAGAAAAGGAGTAGGGGGAAGCAAAAGCTTATAGATACCCACCCCTTTCTTATCCATATTCTCAATTAGTATATATTACTTTGAAGATTAATATCATACATACATACACACACTCACACACACTCTCACCCACACACACGCACGCATACTCACACGCACAAATAAATACAATTTAAATTTCCTTCACTTAATATTTTCACAGATCTCATATTTGGCTAATGTGTATAATTTAAGATGTTTTTTGAACTGTGCAATATGTTTACAATCTTTGATCTTATCTGGTAAGTTGTACCACAACTTCACCCCACAGACCGATATGCACCTGCTTGATGCATGGCTTGTGTATTTGTCCTCATTTCGGAGACGGATGCAGACCGTCGACCTCGAAGCATAGCTTTCTGTGTGTGTGTCATCTCAACTCTATGATTCGGATGCTGTGAGCATCTGCAACCGCAGAGCAACAACTTAGTGCACGTCTGTGTAAGTGTTTCACCTCTGCTCCTATTTACAAGCATGTCAATAATTGTCCTGTTTGATGATTTTACACCGGTGTCGGGTAACAGAAACTAAAACATGCATTTTTTTTTCTGAGGCTGAGGTTTAAATCGTCTCTACCCCCCAGCAGGAAGTGAGTGGCTGTAACATCCGTGGGCCTTTCGGGTCTCATAAACTGGTCGCTGATTGCTCTCTTCCTGGTTACCGGGGCGGACAGCGAAAAACAGAGCCGATAATTGAATCAGACAAATTTCTCCTTGAGCATCGGGGACGGTTGGTCTGATAACGAGGTGCTTAACTGGCAGGACAGGAAGCAGCCTTTCCGCATTCCAAAGTAGGAGAAACTTTGTTCGTTTTTTTTTGCCTTTGGTGCTGCGCCTGCCCCGGTGCCTCCTGTGGCCAGACACACTTGAACCGCGGGAGGGTCAAACAGTTTCTTTATTCCACCGTAAAATTGGATTTATTCTAGTAATCCCGGAGAGCAGATATGAAGAGAACAGTTCTTTACAACTCCAGATGGGCAGAGACACAATCCACTGTTGTGTACGGTATGTTTATTCTGGTTCGTACCTGGTTTTGTTTGCATTTCTTTATTGAATTGATAACCATTCCAGAATTAAAGAGTGGGATGGAGGTCCCTGCGACAAACTGACTGTCCGGGGCCTCATTAAATAAGGGTTAAGGTTAACAATAACAGTGGAATAGTAGGAAAATAATACATGTATACACTACAAAAATCAGATTAAAGTAATTTCAGGGGAATTAGCCAAAACAATAAATTGTGATAATCAAGAAAGATTATGCCAAAGAAGAATGGAGAGCAGAGTCGCTGTCAGAGCAGAACATCATCCTTTCTATTGAATACAACGCGTGCTTCACCCTCCTGACGTCACGTTGGAGGCGTAGACGTTGTCACGAAGAAGGCCTCGAGACAAGTGCGCGAGGGCATCTGGCTAACTGCAAGCCAACGGCCGCCGCCGCGAGGGCATCGGTCGCGCGCCGGCAGCCGGCTAACCGCAAGCTGACAGCCGTTAGCTTTACAATTAAAGTAGATTAAAACAAGTAAAAAGAGAAAACTGGTAAACGTCCATGGCTCTGTTCCCAATACGTGTTGAACGTAGCAGGTAACCTGTCTGTTAGCTATGACCTCGTTATCCAAAAAGAGGCTATTTGCCGTTAGCCATATTTGGCGCAAATGCAAATCGTTGTGGGGCAGGATGTGTTTTTAGGCCTACGACGACTTTCTTAACTTACTTTTGAATGATAAATATTGTTTCCTGTATGTATCATGTATCCCCAGCGGTACGCTCGGCCACACTGGGCTCTTGGAGGAAGCTCACCCTGGGGGCGGAGTACGAGGACACCTGGGCTCCGTCACCTGACAGCGGAGACGGGAGAGGCCGTCCCCCGGAGAAGCGCGCGGCGGCGGGGGCGGCGGGGCGCGTGGAGGGGGCGGACGCGTCCCCTGGAGGCCCGCGGGCTGCGCCGTGGAGGGAAGTCGACACCGACACCGCGCAGAAGTACGACTCGGTCCTCCACCTGAACGGGCTGAGCCGAGCGGGCAGGAGGGACGGTGTGCGCCGCATCGTCCTCAAGCACGAAGCCCTGAGCGGCACGCGGCGGCCCGGCGGGTGAGTCACAGCGCGAACATTTAGACCACGTTTTAACTCCTGCATTTAAATAAGAACCAGGTGAAGTACCTGGATCACCAAATGCTATTCAACACAATGAGTCAAGAACATATAAGCGCAGCACTTGACAACAAAGGATGAAGGTGATTAAACAGAAAAACTTCTTCACGAAAAACTAATAAAGCATTGCTGACAGTGTTTTGGGTGACGTGGGTTTCTGGTGTGGCATGAGCAAGTTGTCCCTTTCCAATGTAAATATTGTTTATTAAGTGTGTTTATACTGTTTAAAATCAATTCCATTAACCAAACTCTAGTTCTCTACATATTTTACATTTAGTATGCTATTGCCATGGAGGCAGTATTATTTACACATCAACCATTTATATTCAGCAGAATCAGTAGAACATTTGATTCATTTTCATCCCGCAGTACATGTCCTGGACCACTGGATGTCTCCTCTACTGCGTGTAGAGCATTTATGTCCATCAGATGATCTGCAGATGATGTTAATAAAGAGCTAAATTAGATTTTCCCTTTCAATAGAGCAGAAACGGCACAAAACTGGATGTATTTATAATTGGCTTGTAGATGTGATCGAGTCAACAGCTAGTATTGTCTGGTGTGTAGTTGGTTCACTGGATTGAAAATGGCCCCGGCAACAAATGCATTCAAATAAAGGTTTTAAGGTTGCCTCGGCAATTATGATGTGGGTGTGAGTAATAAACACACACACTTTACACATGTTGATGAATGAATGGCACCCTTTACCCCGAATTAAAACATCTTCATTTTTAAAGGGCCACACCTTCTGTTTCCTAATGATTGACAGGTCAGTATCGGAGCTTACGCCATCGGGCCAAAAATATATAGACACCACTGCTTACATACTTTTCATCTACCTTTACGAACCGATGGTTTAGTGTTTAAAATATATAAAAAACAATTTGAAAAACTGAAAATATGTTGTAATACAACAACAAAAAAGAAGCTGCCGAGTGAAAACAAAAACAAGCTTCAGATTAACGTGCTCAAGTAAATTGAATTTTTGAGACACTTTTTAATTCCTTTTCTTAATCTAATCTGAAAAGCACAACCATCGTCTCCGGTAAACGCCAGAGTCAAAACGTTCCCAATGGTAATTAACGTTTGTCTCTACAGCCTATTACATGAATTTATAGTGGTCCGTCAATCCTTGTGGCCACCATAAACAGCGCTTGTTTATTTCCTGCCCACAATGAACAACTTACTACTGACACAATCCTAAACTGTATAGTTCATTAAACCGTATCCACACAACATTGACCGTTGAGTCTAACATAAAAAATAAAATGGAGTCTTCAATGGCTGCATGCCATTTGTGACAGAATACTTCCAATAAGAGAGCTGTAAACTATAGCAATTGCAGGATATAAATATGTTGCACATGTTTCTTTAAATATATTAAAAGAACCATTTGTGCAACGTGCACTTTGCTCACACCCGACTGGGGAGCAGTCACATGGTCCATGTCAACAAAGGTCCAAGTATAAACCATAGTTTTTGTCTCGTGTCGTTGTCCCAGTAGATATAAAAATGTACAGAGGAGATAAAACGACTAATGAGCTGCCGCGAGAGACGGGGCATTGTGCAATGGTCGCCAGTCAACGGCAGGGCTGACATATAAACAAACAACCATTCACTATCCAGCTAACCGCCACAGCATGTTTTTGGACTGTGGGAGGAAGCCAGAGTACCTGCACTGTAAACCCGAATTAGTTGACTTTACTCGCGAATCGCGTGGAAACCCGTTGCCCTATCCCACTTTAGTTTTTACACAAGCTGAAACTAGAAATGTTGCGTTGTATTAACGTGGAACCTTAAGTTTTTATACAAGCTGAAACTAAACATGTTGCGTTGTATTAACGTGGAACCTTAAGTTTTTATACAAGCTGAAACTAAACATATTGCGTTGTATTAACGTGGAACCTTAAGTTTTTACACAACCTGAAACTAAACATGTTGCGTTGTATTAACGTGGAACCATACGTTTTTATACAAGCTGAAACTAAACATGTTGCGTTGTATTAACGTGGAACCTTAAGTTTAGTATTTATATTTATTAGTAGTGTGTACTCAAGATCATTAGATAAAACTAGCTATTATGACTTGTTATTGCTACTCATCATTTAACACAATTATTGTATTTTCCTCTAATTTAATTTGCTTTTGATTGGTTTTTAAATACGTTATTAAACATTGTTTCAATTAAATTGGATAAAAAAAACAGAAACACCTGTAAATGCTCCAATGCATTTTACTTTTAAGAAAAATGGCCAAACACAGCTAATCACAAAAAGGATCTGTTTCATCTGCCTCAATGAAGGGAGGCCAGAGCATGAACCAACAGACTATCATATCAGAACAATATCTAATTCCATCTGCATAGACTGATGAAGAACTGAAACATGTATATAATATAACAATGTCCTATGTCTTTCCGCTACAACTCCGCTCAGTTTAAATTGTCACACAAGTCACATCCTTTAGCACGCTTCCCACAAAATATGTGTATAGGTGTGTCAGTTTTGTTTGTGGGTGTTGTATGTGTCTGTGTGTGTGTGTGTGTGTGCGTTTTATGCGTCTGTTTGTCCACCTGTTTTACAGAAAATAAGAAGGTTTACCCCACAGGTAAGAAAAAAAAAACAGTCAACAGTTTCTTAAAAGTAGACTTGACATCTCTTTACATTGCGAGCTGATTTTTCAAAGTCTGTAGCTTTGGCTTTAGGTCAGTGTGAACTAACAAGAGCAATACCTGTTGGATGAACTGAAATGTGAGCTTCATAGTCTTGGGGTAGTTAAGATGGAGTGCATACATGAGTCCAAACAGAATGCACATTGCTTTTGGCAGATCTTGAATGTTGTCCATCACGACTTCTCCCTCAATGATGATTTCCAACGAGGCTGGACTGAGATGCTGGGAGGATGTGAGCACAGCACCTTCACGCTCAATAAGAAGTATCCCAATGTCTGGGTCACAAAAAGAATCCTCATCGTCAGATTCCTAAATAAAGAAAAACAGAAGAGCCCACTCATTACATTATATTTCTCAGTTGAAAAAAAACTTTCATTAAAAATGATAAGAAAGCAAGAGCTTACTTACAAAGCCTGCTTTGAAGAGGTCTGTGGGGTTGTCCCCAGGATGATAGGAAGCCCTCTGACACTCAGTTGGCTCTGTAGTCTTTTGGGAATTAAACACAGTACCACAAGTTAGATAGCTAAAATGAAAAACAAATAATGATCTCTAAGAAATCTTAAACAGACCGAGCAATGTTTGGATAGAATTATGCAACTAATAGAGTAGCATTGTGATATGATGTTTATACCTAACCTAAGAAAAACAATGCCAAGTACATAATGTGCATGGACTTACATTGGTCTGTCCAACATTCCCTCTCTTGGATCCAAATAACTCGAGGAGACGAGGACTGTGCCGGTCGATGCTCTCATAGAATTCCGTCTTGAGGTTCTTGCCCACAATCCTGCTGAACTCCATGAAGACCTGAAAAATACAGAGAACAATAAAAATCTGAATTTAGATCAACTGAACTATACAAGGCAGCTAAGCCATCTGCGAAGTAGTGCTGTCCTGAAAAACATCCATGAATGTCCTTTTTATACGATTTGAAATGTTGATGTTTAAATTAAAAACATCATGCCCCAAATTAAGAATACCAATATTTCCTTTGAAGAGGACAAGAGAAATATACATCTAGACACATTATATAATAGATAATTATTTGTTATGTTCTCTTTCTTAAACATACTTGATCTTCAGTGAAAAGGGCAGGCCAGCGTCTCACCATCGTGCTTATGGCAGGTTCCGACTCCACTACCTCTTTTCTTCTCAGAGCAAACGTCTGATCCATCTTCTGTTTCACAAGAGGTCCATTTGGTGTTCTCTTCTGCATTTCATCAACCAAGTCTTTACAGGCCTCCAGGGCTGCCTGATCAAATGCACACACATTGTAGGTGTAAGCAGGGAAATGGGACAGTTCTACCATAGTTTCCGTGTTTTAACCGATAATGTTTTAAAAGGTAACCCCTTTTCTCACAGATAAACTCACAGTACTTACACTTCCACAGCATCCTCACACCACAAGACTCTGTAAAACAAGAAACTGTTTAGGTCAACAACTCAGCACAACAATGTCACTGTTAAATACAATAAGGTAATAAAACCGAAACAACACCTGTGTTACAGAGAAAACCGGCATGAAAACAAGCGTGTGTGAGGCCGGTTACACACTGCCGGCGTGGCATTTCTGTTGCGTGTCAGTTGCGTGGATTTTTCTGTCTTTTCACACCAGAAACGTGTCTGACGCGGCGCTGCTGCTAGCCTTGTCTGGACACATGCATGTTTCCCATTGATTTACTGCACTCAAGCAGTATACTTCATGTTACACATAAATATATACTGATTTGATTACAGCAAAGACAACGTCGGCAGTATTGACGGTAAATACACTACAGTATATTGCATTCTGTAAAGGTGCAATATTTGAAAATCGATCATCTTTTTGTTTTTTAAATTACATTTGTATATCTGCATTTATGTCATAAACTCGAGACTTTCGAACATCAACATGCCATTTATTAATTAGTATTCATGTCAAAATGAAATATACTAATATATCTTTTCATATAAAATTTAGCCTGGAAACGCTTCCAATGCTTGCGTGTGGCGCAACTATAACTATAAACAGACACGCCACGCAGCCAGTGTGTAGAGAGTGAGGGGGGAAAAGAGAGCGACCAGTGAATCAATGGCTGCAAGTAGCTCGGGTGTAGCTAAACACCTCCACAGCGGATGTAATTTGCCCCGACAGCGGTTGAATCGTTTTTCTATTGCGTAAAATGAAGGGTTGAATAAGTGATACAGTCGAACAAACTAACGGTATGTGAGCCGTCCTCAGACTGTTAACACTAAGTTAACTTTAAGTTCAGCTAACACTTTTTGAGTAGCTAGCTAGCTAGTTTTAGCAATAAGCATGTATTAACACCATGCACAGGTTCAAACATTAACATTAGACGGAAATAAAAGCTGCGTCAAATTATCTGCAAGCTTTTGGGTATTAAACATTCCCACAAAGATAACTAGGCTACAATAGTTATTTTACATACTAACCATTCCACTTCGAGGTGGTAAAGTTGCTTTCTTGGATTCCGTCTGCTGCCGATGCCTGTGCTCGTCCCGCCAGGTGAAGAGCCCCTTGGACGCACGTTAGACGTTGGTCTGGTCACGTGACCAGGCAGCTTTTTGAATTGGCCCCTCCCCTTTATTGCAAAAGTAAACATACCGAGTTATCTGTGCTAAAAATGATTAGTGCAATGAATTTTTCAGCTAATTAGTACTAACAACTAATGTTGTTTAGTAATGATAGCAGGTTTTTACTAAACATAAAAGAATAAGTAATGATCACTCATAAGTTTAATTAGAAACAAAATCCGGGTTTACAGTGTGGAGAGAACCTGCACATGCATGGGGACAACATGCAAACCCCACACAGAAAGGGCACAGTGGTCTCAAACCCAGGACACATCTGTTTTCATGGTTTAATTTATTAACATTATTATTATTATTATGTTTAATGCTTGAGCATAAAGGATAAGGTTTGGTGGCAGCCCAAATAACAAGGTGGGAAAGCTAATTTCAAAACATGCAGGTAAAACGACATATTAGAACATAACATGATTCAGGCTGATTCGCCCAATGAGGTAGCCGTGCTTACATGATTTCCACACACATGTTGTGGTTTAATTTACAGTGAGTGAGACAATCTTTGCATGAATGTGGCCATTTTTAATTTTCCAGTTCTTCGCTAGATCTTCCGAGCGTTGCTATCTCCTGCATATACACGACATGTTTCCCCATGTCGACGCCACGAGAAATATTGATTAACACGCATCACGTGTTGACCCTCCGGGCCTTTTGTTGAACTCAATTAGTTGTTCAGTTTCTCTGATAAACAGCCAACAGACCGGCGAGCGCGTCTGTGCGCTCCAGTCACCGATTGGCCGCTCTGGTCACATGCGCTCTTCCTTATTCTACCGAGGACTTTCTTTATCGCCCTCAGTCCCCGACACGGCGAGCGATCAGGACAACTTGGATTTGCTTGTCTTCCTATTTGCTTCTGCTGATAAAATAAATACGGAGGAACCCCGGTGTCTTTTTTTTTTTTTTTTACCGGCGCGACCTGCTTGTTTTGAGTGACGCCCTGAACGTTTCAACTGGTGTGTGGACGCGGACACGATGCGGTCAGGATCGTGGACACAGCTCGGGCGATCTGGTTTGATTTCACCATGAGATTTAATTTGTTTAAATTCTTCTCCACTCAGAGCCCGGCTGCTGTGGATGCAACAGCCTCCGCGAACTGAATTGCTGCACAGCTCCAGCGCGTTATTCCTTGAAACTTTTACAGTTTACCACCCGAAGATGAATGAATGGAAAGGATCACGAGAACGTGGTTTTCTATGAGGCCACCTTGATTGTCCATCTCCCAAAACGCAGCGCTTGCAGGACACTCCCGACGCTGAGCTGTGGTTTTGGATGGAAGTGTGTGTGTTGTGATGCGTCTCCCCTCCACTGCCACTGACACCAGTTTGGATTTACCCTTTCGGATCTGTGCGTTTCCAGCATGCCGCGCTTCGCCGAAGATCTCCCCACCCGCTATGGAGGAAACGCCGGCGGCGGTGGGAGAGGCGGACCGGGCGCCGGCAGAGGGGGAGCCCGGGGTGGCGGCGCACCGGGCGGCCAGAGGGTGTACAAGCAGTCGATGGCCCAGAGAGCCCGGACAATGGCCATCTACAACCCGAACCCTGTCAAACAAAACTGCCTCACGGTCAACCGCTCCCTCTTCATCTTCCGCGAGGACAACCTCATCAGGAAGTACGCAAAGCGGATAACGGAGTGGCCATATCCTTCCAAACAAGGAGCCAGGTGCATCTGTAGCCCCGAACCCCTGCGTCCTCGCCATAGAAACACACACACACACACACACACACACACACACACACACACACACACACACACACACACACACACACACATTGGCTTTTATGTCAAACTGTTGTGCTTATGTGTTGATGTGGATCACATTCCATGCTCGTCTCGCCGTGGAGCTCCTGCCACGGTGTCTTCGTTTATTCTTCCGCCGACCGCACCTGTCGCTCCGCTTCTTATCTGCGTACAACGTGACACAAAAGGTTCCTTTTTTTTTTTTTTTATCGATCGGTGAAATTACTTACACATCCGCCCCGGTGGGTTTCCCGTAATGTTCCCCAGCCGGGTTTCTGAACCCAGAGGCAGTCCGCATCAACCCACAACCCTATTTTTCCCCCTCAAAAAATGGCAGCTGTAAACTGTCCACCAGATGAGTACAGACACCCCGGGTTCAGGTAACGACGACCAACCATCGCTATCGATCAACGCGAGTAGAAGTCGATAAGAAAAGCGCCCCTCCCCGCTGCTCGCGCGCTTCTCCCGACGAGCCCCGGTTCGTTGTGGCCCAGAGAGACCGCTGGTCCGGGGCCGGCGCGCCACCGCCTCGCTGTCTTAGTTTAGCGGCTCTCTCCGTGGTGCTGAAGTCGCCCACGTTCAACTCGACTGAAGACAAATGTTCACGGTCACACTTTAAATCTTAAGTATTTCCTCTCTCCGAGAACGAGGCGACGGTTCTTTCAGTTGACGTTATTCTGGGACTTGTGTCTTGTGTCAAAGTGATTTGATTTGGTCTCAACACAAGTTAAATGAACTCCATTTGGAAGCATTTTCTCGTTTTATGAGAAAATGATTTTCCAGTGACATTATAGAGCTCAAAAGACGTTCATGCAGTTTGAGTCTGGATTCAGAAGGTTTGGATTTTAAAAGTGAAATCATTTTATAGTTAAAAATACCAGATTTGAAGAAGGCAAACCCATATGAAATGGCTTGTTAAAGGATATCTTTTAGCAGTGAAATTGCTCAGGCTGGCGAGCGCGAGCTTGTGTGACAAACGCAGGACGACAAGTGGCTCTGCACTGTGGATGACAGTGAGAACCACATTAGCTGTGATAGAATAACAATGGCTTTAATCCATCCTTGCCACAGATGAAAACGCTTGTACAAACTGAAAATTAAATCTGAAACCGTAAAAGTAATTTTTACCAATTTCCTATTAAAACTCACTGCCAAGAAATCAATGTTCAGGTTGCATAATCAGGGTGTCGTATGGGTAATGGTTGGCTGTTATGGTCATAAGCTAACTATTGCCTTGTGATTCATGGGCCCTCAATAGACGCTGACCCGCGGCAATGACTTGGTGAAAATGGATTGCAGAATGAGTCGACCATTGAAAATGGTCAGAAACGATCAACCATCTGGAAAGATCATGTGTAGGATGCTTTCGCTCCAGAAAGGCTTACGCAAGGTTTACGCTTTAATGGACAGAATACGTCCATATTTGAGTTTAATGAGGATTTTTGTACAGCGACACGCAGGATAATGTGCTCTTCTGAACAATAAAATGCGGCCTGCCAATGTTAAGCCCCCTTATTTTATTAGGCTGCGATGAGTTGACAACATGGAATGTACTCCCTGCTAAACCCATTTATCCTGTTTGAAAAGCAGGCCTTTAAACCTTCAATAAGAAAATGTAAAAATGTATGACTGTGAAATGCAACTTTGTCCCTTTCTACTGTTCCTTAACTCTCTCACTCCATTCGAGTACATGATCCTCGCAACAATTATCGCTAACTGCATCGTCTTGGCCCTGGAGCAGCATCTGCCCGCCAGCGACAAGACACCCATGTCGGAACGCCTGGTAAGTGCTTCAGCGGGCCTCTGTCCACTTCCTTTGAGACACAAAGGGCTTGTCAACAGCCAACACTGATATGGAGAGCATAAAAATCAGCTAATCAGTTAAAAGCGCTTGTCACTTGTTCGCCTGCAGAACCTCCCAGTGAGCGAGCCCGTTCGTTCCCCCCCAGCACACCCCTAATGATGCAGAGCTCACCAGCATCAGAGGGTAATCAAGGAGACTGTTGCACAGGGAGGTCATGACGTATATATCCCCGCCCTGTGTACCAGGGGAAAATGAGAGAAACCCAACTGAACGGCACACAGCTTCCTGCTTTAGCACTTTGCTGTGTTTGCACGCGAGGGTGTTGTAGCTCAGGGGAGTTTGTCTTTAAATAGTGTTACAAAGAGCAACAGCTTGACGTGAGAAAGTTGCTCAATTCTTTTCATATTCAACCGCCAGCTCCCGTCTTGAATTACCTCTGCGGATGCGTTGCAAATTCATTAGTGAAGATGTTACAACTAGGAAAACAAAAAGGTTGCATTTAGCACCTGAGAAGAGTGATTGGCTCGGCAACACAACGGAGGAAAAAAAGCATCCGCTCCCTGCCTCCTCCACCTCGAGGATGTAACACAACGAGAACCCTTTTAATTAGAACAAGGGATGAGCTTTTATTTATGAAGCTCTGTCAACAGATTAGGAGCTGGGCAGTAAGTGGAGGCGATGATGGAAGCTGTTCAGTAAGTGTATTTCACATCCATCGCTCCATTTTGGCGCCATGATCCTTTAAGGATTTCCCCCGGCCGTCTTCTGCAAGCGTATTTATAATTCAGGAGTGTTTTAGATGTATGGATAGTAGATGTTAACACGCTACTAGTACAGCCCTTAAGCCCCGTCATTCAATTGTTTTATCATTCAATCTTGTGTTTGTGAAGAATTCCAAAATGAACATGCTTCAGGACACATTTAACCGTCCATCTTTGTTTAAATGTTGGGGGCTCCCATTGGCCTCCTTCTACTTGACACTAACAGTGTATGTTCTTCCATAACGAACAATTTAACCACTGCTGCTTGCACGATGCATCTACTCTTACATAATCTCTAGATGTTCACTGTAGTGCTACAGAACGGTCACATTTCTTATAGGGCCCAGGCCTGTCACACTGCTTCTACATGACTGTATATTTTGGAGGCTGGAGGGTGCTGGAGGTTGGGGACAATATCTGTCAGTTTGTGGTATGGTAGCAGCGAGGCGGAGAAGAATGGAGGAGGAGCGAGGGTTAGTGTCGGCGTGAGATATCTTCTGCTCATGCCTTGTGCATCGCCGCAGGCTGCAGCAGATATTAATGGAGGCCAAGGAAAAAGTGTCATGTCATACGCGCCTGATCTACCCCCCCTTACTCACAGCAAGGCCCAGGGTTCCCCTAGCCACATAGTGCAAATGATCAAACTGTAGCTGTGATGATTGACACTTTTAGGGAGTAATGCAGAGGGCAAAAATCCATCATGTCCACTCATGTGTATTGTGCATTTGCCCTCAGTGCTAAAGTGCACTTTCAAACAGCAATGTGTTTTTCCCTTTGGGATGATGTAATGCGTCTGATTTTCCCTAATTTCACACTTGAGCGTCCTATTCTCTGGTCACTTCATGTACTGCACGTTTCCATTAATCCATGTCCCCAGCACCCCTTTGATCTGCACACATGCCCTTCTCGTTGGCCCGGCTGCCTCATTTTTACCTCTGTTTTTGGACCAAAGGACCACAAGTGCCCTTGCTCTTAACCCAAGTGCCTGCCAATTCAGTGCTTCATTTCTGCACTATGACACGCCAAAGCGGCACTTGATTGGCTCAAGTACCTCCTTAGTTACCCGATATGGTCGCTCCTTATAACCGGCTGGTTCACCTAAATGCCTTGCATGTGTTCCTATATGCACACATACTTTGTTCTCGCTCAAATGTCACATCAGTGGGGTAATTGAACAGTGGCCAAAGGCCCCCCGCATCCCCTTTAGCTCACTCCAGGTCCCTTCTATGAGTCATTTTTCCTTGTACTCTACTAGTTGAATCGTGCGACTCCATCACAGTCCTCGAAAATAAGCTGCTAATCAGCGGTACACAGTACCGGCGCTTCTGCATTTTACTGCTTGGTGTATGTGGCCGCTTCTTGCCCACCGGCACTTGCTCACAAGCTGCCAGTTTGCTCCGAGAGCATCCACGCCAGCTACGCACCCATCGCACTAGCCGATTGCCCTTAAACCTGAACTTAACCTGACCTGGCACTACTTTTTTTTACCCTCCACTCACTGCTCATAGGGCACTCTGGTTGGTTTGGTCAGCCAGGGAGCCCCTCTGCTCCCCCACCCCGGCTACCCTTATCTAACATGTTCTATCAATTGAAGTTAAATAGTTTAATATGTGTGGATGCACTAAACAAGCCAGAGGCTCTATTGATTTACCATTGTCCATAAAATCATTCTATGTGTGTAAATATGTGTCTTCACTGTATTTACTCTCCTTTCATCCTAAAAAAAAGCTTCCCTTTTTGGCCCCTTTTTTCAGGCGGTGGGGGGGATTTTTTCTTTATTTTCCCCCCCCCCCCCCCCCCCCCTCTTTCACTTGATGCTTCATTAACCACTCTTTTACTGCTAACAAAAAGATCTTCCTCTGTCACTCTCGTCCTCTCTCTGTCTCCCTGTAGGACGACACAGAGCCCTACTTTATTGGAATATTCTGTTTCGAGGCAGCCATTAAGATCATCGCCCTGGGCTTTGCTTTTCACAAAGGCTCCTACCTCCGCAACGGCTGGAATGTAATGGACTTCGTGGTCGTCCTCACAGGGTGAGTCCCTCGCCCACTCAGCTTGAAATGGAAGTCACAAGTATGAGAGTGGCTTCTTTTGTGTGAATCTGTGAGCGTCTTGAGAGAATGGGAGGTGAAATCACCTCCCTTCAGTTCGAGCGTCTGCCTACGAACGTCCTTTAAGTTACTCAACAAGTAACGCACCTGTAAAAGATAGGGGAACATTTGTTGCTTTGTTTTTTTCCATTTCTCTCCTTGATCTTAACACCGTTTCCTGGACAACGCTTCACGGACACGTACATGGACTTTAAATTAGAAAAGAACCCGGTGCACTTTTCTTTTTGTACAGTTTGATCCGTTGTAACTCGACAATCACTTTTAAGTGTTAAGCTTTTAAAATGTAATACAGGCGTGATGGAAAACAAGAATTTATTATTCATGTTTGCTTTTGCTTTACGACCTGAGCGTCTGCATGGCAGATGGGAATAAATCTAAAGTTTTGTATTTGATACATGCGTTTTAAATATGTGTACATGACGACACTGCCATGTGTCGGCTGAGTGGACCACCGAGGGCTGTGACGTATGCTTTTGTAGTTCTTCCTCAGCAGCTCTTAGTGGGGCTCGGAAAAGAGTGGCTGCACGACGGGGAGACTGTAACGGGCTTTCTTATTTTTAATATTATTTTATATGTTTCTACTTTCTGTCCCTCCAACTCCTGCATTCTTCTAACTGCAGATTGAATGTAGCACCAGCGGAAGAGTTCTTTTTTTCTATTTCCTCAAAGAGACCAGCGTCATGTTGTCTTGTGAAGCTACCTAAAACTGGGAACCATTATCATTAGCAAAGCCATCACACATCTGTGTGGTTGAGTATTGTAAAACATAAGGCTGATTCTGGATGGAAATGTGGAAAGGTCTCACCTGTACATTTTAATCTTATACTGCCAAAATAGGCAGAATGATGCCAATGGAGATGCATTAAGGCCTATTTCATAAGCATACGATAACCTCAGCACCAAGACACCTTTACCTTTTATAATTTGAAGGTGGATCCTGAATACAGGGACACATAGAAAGCTTGGCAGATTCACAGCTTGTGTGTGTCAGGGCCATGCTAGTGTAAGCAGAGGAAGCAGCCGTTTTTAAGTGTCTCTCTGGCTCCCTATTCTGTTTAATGAATGAAGGATAACAGTACATTAAGGAGCTTCCACAAGAGCCTTCACCGTATAAGCTTTGAAAAGCCCCATCAGTATTGATCAGCATGCTACAAAGTCATAATGCTGGAGAAGGAATCAGGTTTTTGACTTTCTAAACTGAGAATGTCCCTGTGTGACTCTTCGCAGCATGAAAAACACTCCCTGTTGAAAATGCACCTGTTTCATCCAGGATTCACTCAATGCTTCTCTTGCTTTGTTGCATTTATGAGGAGAATATTGTTCTCCAGGCATAGTGCTGCACACAGTCCACATTGGCTTTGTTTTGAAAATAATAGCTATTCCAGAAACTGGATAAACAAATGCATCAAAATGGCTAGCGTAGGACTAGCAGAACAAAGATTTCAGACAAGCGGTGACCATAAGTGTTTGACATGATAACAAACCAGACAAAGAGGAGTTTCCCTCCATTAGTAAACATCACCATTTGAGATGATGCGGCATGCATTTAAAGCGAACACGCGTATCTTCTCCTGCGTTCACGGCGTAGCCGCACACAACCAGTCCAGAGATGTCCTCTTCTTTTCCTCTCCCACGGCACGTAAGTGGGACCATTGCATTGTCATTGATTGAATTTACTGTTCCCCTGCATTACCTACCCATGTGTGGAAGATGAAGGAAGGCATTCATGTAACGTTTGGCTGACATCACACAGTGGCACGTTGCTTGCAGCATTTGAATTCCACTGTATTTGTGTGGGAATGCAAGATTCACCTCCTGTATCCTGTAACAGTGGCACTTAGCAAGTCACTGTGCTTCATGAGAAGAACCTTTTCACAGGGTAATAATATGAGTGTTCTGAATAATTGTTATTTCAATCTGTCAGTATCAGGAAATTAGATAATTCAATTTGAATTACGTGAAGCTATATTTTATTGTTTACAGCGTGTATCTCTGTATAAGTTTTTCTTTCTTTTGAGGTGGAGAAATATGTCTTATATAATATGTCAGTTTTTGTTGTACCCATTGCTGACACAGCTGGATACAAATGAACCGTCATGTTGCCAATGTGACCGTCTCTGTTTGGTTGCCAAGCAACCGCACCAGATAAAGTGCCTCTACGTGATCGGGGGTTTCTGCGCGATTGTTTGCTTTGTGCTCGACACGCTCCTGTGGGAGTGGAAGGGGGGGTGGGGGGTGCGGGCAGAGCCCACGTCAATTCGGAGTCAATCGCATCACCCCTGGATGGGGTTTGGCCCACTGGGCTGCAGCATGAGCAGAATCTGATCCTCTGAGAAACTGAAGGTAAATGAGAAAAGACAGAGAGGATGTTTCAGATGTTCACCTGCCTTAGTGAAGTTAAGAGGATTAAACAGACTGTACACCTGGGTTTTAAAAAAAGGTTTCTGCTTAGTCCCGCTTCGTCCACAGAGAGAATGAGCAGCCTGCGGGCCACAGCTAATGATCATCATTGTCCTTGAGTGTGGTACAGGATACCAAATGATAACCTAATGAAAAGATTTGGAGGGGCAAAAAAATAAGAAATCGGACAAACATTAACACAACTACAATTGGGTGTTGGGCGTAATGCATGAAGATGTGTAGCTCATATATACTGGTTAATCCATCAAAAGTGGCCAAAAAATGTGCTTGTGGCTATTTTACCAAAAGAAAAGATGGTCCTGCTTTGGTGGAAATGAAAACATATTCGGTTCTGCTTTAATAATCATTACTCTTTTATCAGCTAAGAATCTGAATGAGTTCTCTGACTGCTGTATGATTCCACCGCTGGGTCCCTGGTGTAATTATGGAGATACAGCCGTCCAGGCCTAATAAAAGGGTCTAATTGATATTGTAGCTGGAGGCAGTGGCAGACCTTTAATCTGTCCTGATCAGGCTCTAGGAGCCCCTAATAATAAGAGCATGAATCTGCCTGGCTTTTCAGAGGCCTAATCAATAGAACACTGAGCTGGTCAGCCCACTAACACGGAGCCCTACTGAGGAGCCGCAGACGTCCAAGCACACGCTGGGCATGTTGGCATCTGAGACGTGAAGGAAAGGGTGAGAAGCCTGCTCTACTTGAAATCCCTTACTTTTCCAGAGCATTTGTAACATTCTCCGGTATGAAGTGTTTGCTCACAGAAACTGGGGAATCATGACTTTTCTTTGAAAGACCCAAGAAGGAAATCACTAAATGACTCTCACAATTGTTCTTGTTTCAGTGGTTGAACTCAGCGGGGGTCAATTTAGTTTTTAGGTTTTACCTTTTGGAACTGGTAGAATCTAAGCAGTGGAAATCCTCAGCCATCTTTCTATCTCCTTAAGTCAGCATTGGATGCTTTGCCCAAGGGAATTATGCACAATTCCTCGCAATGTGACGTTGAACACTTGTGTTTAGCCTGTCATATTTAATTTACACAGAAACATTCAGGATTAAAGATCCTTAATAGTTTGGACTTTTTAATTGTAACAAGATTGATGGGTTTTAAGTAATATATACCAGAGCCCTGAGAAGCTCGAATGTTGATCCATATTCTTTCATCTTTCAACTTTCATAGAATATATTTTCTTCCAGGTGTTTTTGATATAAGAACATAATAATATTTTTGAGGTTATTTTTTGTATCTTTTACTATTTTCCATTTTGTCTTAATCGGCAACATCTATACTAATATTTACATATCTGGATAAAACCTCACAAGTGTTCTCTGTATTACAACACCCAGATTATTCCTATACACCTGGTTGCAGAGGTACAAACCTTTTTATCATGAGGATGCAATTTTTGAGCAGGAGCCTAAGAAACGGCTCGGTTCTAAAGATGTTTTAAACTACGACGACTTCCACATGTATACTGTACACTATGTTTTGTTGATGCCAGTGAGAGGCCGGTGGAGTCACTGAGAACAATAATCGCTCTATCAGATCCGGGGAAACAAAAGACAGCGCCGTTGCTCTTATTTATTTATCCGTGTCTTTTGATTTACGAGTCTCGGCTGTGAGTGGTCGGAGCGCGAGTCGGCGGTTGGGCCGACTTCAAAGTTGCGATTTCCTTTCATGTGCCTCTCGGCCAACGGGGCTTCCACAATAGGAGGCCTCAAAGTATAGCGGCTGGGACTACAGAGGTCGGGTCACTTTAGCTTACGGCCTGCATGAATAAACGGTCCCTTTGAACGTCTGCCAAAGCGCCGCTGCCTCATCGTGGAGGTCTAACAGCCCTCGCCTAGGCCACAGGGTTTGTGTATTTGCCAATGTATGTACCGTCCTTCTCTGGATGATAGCTGAGTTATAGTTATAGCTGACTGCTAAAGTACCATTACTACAATTTAAAATGTACTTTTGATTTTAAAACAAACAACATTCCCCTCAGCCGTAGTTTGTTTAATTTGCTGACTAAAATGGCACTTAGCATCAACACGTTGGCATCGCCATGTGAAGGTGTCAGCAGGCCTGCGTTAGCATTTAGCTTCAAGCACCACAGGGCCTCAGTGTCATGGGGGTGTCGAGATCAGAGCCACTAGCACGGCTCAGGACGTCATAGAGTTGAGATGTTTTATGATGGCTACAGGCGTCGTGTTATTAGCTTGTCCCTCCGTCTGCTCCGTCTGCTTCTCGTGAGCCAGAGAAAGCCTGCAGGTAGAATCTCCTCAAATTAGAGTCTTTGCTCATTTGGATTCATTCATTCTGGATACTTATCGACCGCATTGACCAGGCAGTTACCTACTCGGAAAAATACACTTAAAAAATTATGTTTTTTTTATGACACACGTGCGTGCGTGCGTGCGTGCGTGCGTGCGTGCGTGCGTGTGTGTGTGTGTGTGTGCGCGCGCGCGTGTGTGTGTGTGCGCGCGTGTGTGTGATTGGGTGTTTAAGGTGCATAACAAA